TATACCTTTGAAATCTTCTTGTCTGACACCTTGTTCTGTTTTCTCCCTCCAGTCTGTGTATTTGTTTTTCCCATTTCTTTAACTTCTTGCTTTCCATCTCAGCTCACCCTTCCATTCTAAATATTACCATTGTTATTATTACAAGCTAGAAAATACTTAATTGCACACAGTACAGGGACAGTAACAACACCAAAGACAATGACGGGAAGACAAAAAAAACAGGGAAACCAGTTTCCCCACAGCAAAAAATTAGTACAGGAACCAGAGGGGAATGAAGAAAACAGGTACTCAGATCCAGACTCCAACAAAATGAAGATAAACTATGCCAAAGGACCCAATGAAGCCCACAAGAATAATTTAAAAGAAGACATACTACAGGTACTCAATGAGAATTTATAGAGATGATACTGGATAGGGTCAACCAAAATGTACAGGAGACACTCAAGAAATTCCAAGAAAACAAAAATAAAGAATTTGAAAAAGCAAAAGAAGAAATAAAGGAAACCATAGAAACACTGTATAAACACCAAAGTGAAAGAGAGAACACAATGAATAAATGGATAAATGAACTCAGGACAAAAATAGACAACATTAAAGAGGAAAACAGCCAGGATATGGAAAACCTCAGAAAAAAGAACGAAACCGAACTGCAAAACAAAACGGAAGGCCAATCCAGCAGAATAGAACAAACAGAAGACAGAATCTCACAACTTGAAGATGAAGTGGTAATTAAAGGAAAAACTGAAGAACTATTAATTAAACAACTCAAGACCTGTGAAAAGAAAATGCAAGAACTCACTGACTCCATCAAAAGACCAAACTTGAGAATCATGGGCATCGAAGAAGGAGAAGAGGTGCAAGCGAAGGGAATGCGTAATATATTAACAAAATAATAACGGAAAATTTCCCAAATCTAGAGAAAGATATTCCCATACAGATGCAAGAGGCCTCCAGGACACCAAACAGACCAGATCAAAATAGAACTACCCACGACATATCATCATTAAAACAACAAGTTCAGAAACTAAGGAAAGAATATTGAAGGCTGTAAGAGAGAAAAAACAAGTAACATACAAAGGTAAACCCATCAAAATCACAGCAGACTTCTCAACAGAAACATTAAAAGCAAGAAGAGCATGGGGTGAGATCTTCCGGGCACTGAATGAAAATAACTTCAACCCCAGGATACTCTACCCAGCAAAACTATCATTCAAAATAGATGGAGCAATAAAAGTCTTCCATGATAAGCAGAAACTAAAACAATATGTGACCACAAAGCCACAACTACAAAGGATTCTTCAAGGGATTCTGCACACAGAAAGTGACACCCAACTTAACCATGAAAAGACAGGCAGCACCAAACCACAGGAAAAGAAAAAGCAAGAAAGTAGAGAGTAACCTCAACTTAGATACACACAATCAAACCTTCAAACAACTAAGACAACTAAATGACAGGAATCACCACATACCTATCAGTACTAATGCTTAATGTTAACGGACTTAATTCACCCATCAAAAGGCACGCTTAATGAAATGGATTAAAAAGGAAGATCCAACAATTTGTTGCTTACAGGAGACCCATCTCACGACAGAAATAAGCATAGGCTAGGATGAAAGGCTGGAAGAAGATTTACCAAGCCAATGGCCCCGAAAACAGGCAGGAGTAGCAATACTTATCTCTGACAAAGTAGACTTCAAACCTACATTGATCACAATCGAGATAAAGAAGGACATTCCATACTAATAAAAGGGGAAATAGACCAAAAGGAAATAATAATTATCAACCTGTATGCACCCAATGTCAACGCACCCAATTTCATCAAACATACCCTGAAAGACCTAAAAGCATATATAAACCAACACAGTGGTTGTGGGAGACTTTAACACCCCATTATCATCAATAGATAGTCATCCAAACAAAAAATCAATAAAGAAATCCAAGATCTAAAATATGCAATAGATCAAATGGACCTAGTTGATGTCTACAGAACATTTCATCCAACTTCTACACAATATACATTCTTCTCAGCAGCCCATGGAACCTTCTCCAAAATAGATCATATCCTAGGGCACAAAGCAAGCCTCAGCAAATATAAGAAAATAGAAATATACCGTGCATACTATCTGATCACAATGCAGTAAAAGTAGAACTCAACAACAAAAGTAAAGACAAAAAACATGCAAACAGCTGGAAACTAAATAACTCATTACTTAATGAAAATGGATCATTGATGAAATAAAGGGAAATTAAAAGTTCCTGGAAGTCAATGAAAATGAAAACACAACCTACGGAACCTATGGGACACAGCTAAGGCAGTCCTGAGAGGAAAGTTTATAGCCATGAGTGCATATATTAAAAAGACTGAAAGATCCCAAATCAATGACCTAATGATACACTCAAACTCCTAGAAAAACAAGAACAAGCAAATCCCAAAACAAATAGAAGGAGAGAAATAAAAAATAAGAGCTGAAATCAAAAAATAGAAACCAAAAAACCATACAAAGAATTAATGAAACAAAAAGTTGGTTCTTTGAAAAATAAACAAGATCGATAGACCCTGGCAAACCTGACTAAAATGAGGAGAGAAAAAACCCAAATTAGTAGAATCAGGAATGCAAAAGGGGAGATAACAACAAACACCATGGAAGTCCAGGAAATCATCAGAGACTACTTTGAGAACCTTATTCAAATAAATTTTGAAAAATTTAAAGAAATGGACAGATTTCTAGATAAAATATGTTCATCAAACTGAACCAAGAGAAATTAATTCACCTGTATAGATGTATTAACACAAAATGGAAATTGACAGCATGCAATCAACTGTCTATCTATCTATCTATCTATCATCTATATGTCTACCTTTTTCCCTTTCAGAGTCCTACTAATCTTTTACACCAGTAGATGGCAGTCTAGTTGGAGACTTGCCTCTGGAATAAAGTCTGGGCTTGTTTCCAAGGTAGGGGCAAGGGTATGTGGAGATACTTGGAATACAAAAAAAACCCAGTGAAGACTTCTGAGGTCTGGCCCTCAGTCCCCCAGTTTCACACAGTTCCCACTAAACTTGGAGCCTCTCCTCTCCAAAGTCCCCACAAACTCATGGTCTGCTGTATGCTCCAATGGTGGTCCATTCTGGTGGTGGAAGATGGAGAACTGTGCTTCCTTCTGTCCCACTTGTAAAGTGTTTCATGCAATTTCTTAGCTGTTATTGTGTCTAGAAATTGTGCCCTGTCCAAAGGCTCTATCTTTTGTCTTGGTGGGAGTTTCTGTGTAGGAGTGTTGGCATCCTGCTGTTTTTCTTGCTGGTTTCTCTGAAAGTTAAGACTCCAAGCATGGGGCACTCTGAGGCTTTCATGCCTGTAGTCTGATTGACCTGCTTTGTCCAGTTCCTGGTGCACTCATGAGGTATTGATGGAATCAAAACTACTGTGACACCAGTTCTTACTATCTTAGCAGTTCTGCATGGAGTTAGGCAAGAGAATTGCTGTTTAATAGGGTACATCCTCAAGGAAGGATGGGAGGCAATGCCACTCCATCACCATCTTGCTTTTGTATCCCCATACCAGTTTAATGAAATATTAAGCCTGCTTCTCTACCTGGACTTTGAGTCTGACTCCTAGTTGTTGACTACCTATCTTTTAGATACTAGGTATTTTCCGTAAGTCTGTGACCTAACTAGAATTTTGGGATCAATGGGCCTGCTTCCATACATTGCTCCCTAGTTAACTGAGGGCAAGGACAGGAAAACTTCATATTTTGCTTCTTTTCTTGGTCCCCACAGAATTCTCATATGAAGTTGGTCTGAAATATCCTGCATTTCTGTTCACTCTTCATCAAAACCCAAGTATAAAACTCAAAGTTGAATTGTAATTCATATTTTTAAACAAAAAGGATAAAGTGAAGGTAAGGAGTATTTGGTACAATCAGAACTAAGTATTTCAAATAGCCAATAATTCACACAAAGCCTTACTTAGCAAATACAAGTCCCCTGAACCATTTATTTTCAAAAGGCTTCACATAAACCTTGCATCAGAAGATGCCCATTAGTTACTGAGGATGGATGGCAAGTACACCAGGGAGTATCTGTGCTTCATTTTTAAAAGCTCAGTTTAGTTTTTAGTTTTTTTGAACTATGACCTTGCTGTGTTGCCCCGGCACCAGCCTGGCTCAAATGATCCTCCTGCTTCAGCACCCTGGTTATAAGTGTGCGCTAATACACCCAGCTTAGCTTTAATTTTTTGAAGTAATTACCTAGGAAGAAATACAGGAATTCCACAAAAAAATGGCAACCAGAATGATTCTCCATTAGCCAGATTTTGAATATTGTCTACTCAGAAATTTCTTTTTCATCAGTTAAAATTACTTTCTGGTCAATTTCCTTTGGTTAGCTTAATTCATTCATTATCAAAACCAAGGCCAAAGTTGGGTATGGAGGCTTAAGCCTGTAATCTTAACCACTTTGGAAGCAGAGACTGGAATAACAGTGGTTTGAGGCCAGCATGAGCAAAAAGTTGGTAAGACCCCATCTTAACCAGTTTCTTAGCTGGGTATGGTTGGGCATTGGTGGCCCATGCCTGTAATCCTAGCTATTCAGGAGGCAGAGATCAGGGGATCACATTTTGAACCCAGCCCTGAGCAAATAGTTCATGAGACCCTATCTTGAATATACCCAACACACACACATACCACATGGCTGGCAGAGTGGTTCAAGTAGTAGAGCACCTGTCTAGTGCCTGGAGTTCAAACCCCAGTACCACTAAAAAGACAACACAAAACAAAAAAGCACTGGGTGTGGTGGTATGACTAAAATAGAAGGATTGAGGTCCAGGCCACCTGGGCATAAACACGAGATCCTATTTGAAAAACAACTAAAATGAAAAGGGATGGGGGATGTGGATCAAGTGGTAGAGAGCCTGCATAGCCTAGCAGATACAAGACCCCAAGTTCAAATCTCAGTACTGCCAAAAAAACCAAACAAATCAAAATCCAAGGCCAACTTTTATTATTTTGGTTTTACTTTCCTTTTGGCTTCTTTATGCTTCTTTCGACAATCCTAGGAAATCAGAAAATCAAAACCTTTGTTAACAACAAATACAAATTGTTCTCAGGGTGTTTAATAATTATGAAGTAAAATTTAGTTATTGTCATTGTCAGGGACATAGAAAAACATTTTTGAAGTGCTCACTGGAATGAAGAGGGACTACTCCATCTTTCGGCTTTATGTATTTAAGGAACTTTAATTCAGTCTTTGAAAACCTCCTGATTTCCTATTAGTTAATGAGAATGGCTGGATTCTGGGACCAGCCACTCAAAGTAGCCAATCTTCCATCTCCTTCCTTGTACTAGTCATGAGTTGAATTGAACCTCAGTTTCTTCAGGCACTATAATTCTGAGCATTTAAGTAATGTTCTCAGTTGTCATCTTTTCTAAATTTTCATATCTTATTCCTGTTATTCTTATACTAGGGAAATGCTAACAGGAAGATCCAATCGTATTTATTTTTAGAGACAATCAATATGGAGAAACAATTGCTCACCATAAGCAGGCTGTTTGTTCGGGCCTCCCAAGAAGACTTGTTAATGTTACTTTCCACACCTCTCCAGAATAAGTCAGAACCTACTAGGGAAAAAACAAGAAACATAAGGCAGCAAATTATTACTAAAAAAGACAACATTCTGGCATTACCATCTCCATTCTAGATGATGTCATTTTAAAAAAATTTCTACAGAATTTCCAAAAATAAGTATTACATGTTATTTTCAAAATCAAAAATTTAGTATTGCTGGAATTTTACTGTTAACGGATTATTTCTTGTTATATCACTTTGTTTTTGTTTGTGGCTTTAAGAATCGAGAAGTTTCACTCTCAGCCTCACAGTTTTCACGTGAATTTTTACAGTACTAAAATTATAAAAATTTACAGTACTAAAACATAAGGATTTTGTACGTTTGTATGTAAGCAAGTCCCTATGACAAAAAAAGTTCTCACTGACCATAATGAATGAGCAAGGAACATGGTGACTGAGGAGCTCTCAGTTGCCAAAGCTTTACAAGTCAGCATACATCAGTTTGAATGGAGGGGACAAAACCACATATTACAAAGGGGCAGAATTTCTGGATGTGAGTTTTTGTACCAGTATGCAATAAGGGCTGTGCTGTTGTCATTTAATGGGAAAATGGACTTACCATGAAGTCTTTCATCATTCTTGGAAAAAAAGAAAAATCTAGTGTGCTCTTTCACAGGAAATGTTTCTTCTCTGAAAAGGGGAAGCAGAAAAAAGACAGAAACATTTGTTGACCATATCTACATATGCATTTTTTTCCCCTTTGAATGATCTTTTTGCATTCCAAATGCTGGGGTTACAAGCATGCGCCACCATGCCTGGCTTATTTTCAATATTTAAGAAGTATACTGAAGATATAAACTTTTCCTTAAAAACAGCTGCTTTGTGTTCTGCTCTTGTTGCCCTGAATTACAGTGACCCTGCGCCCTCTCCACTCAACATTCTTCTCTGTGAGGAGGAATGAGGACTTAAGAACAAACTCCGCGTTTCCCACGCTGGTTGCTGATACTCTCACTCCCCCATCGTTACCCTGTTTGCAGTGTTCCCCATGGGAAGGTGTCCTGCCAAGTGCAGCATGCAATTTCCTGACCAGAACTTGACCATCAGGCTCACTTCACTGAGCACATCACATGTCCCACACAATGCTATACAAACCTCAAAAAAAGTAATCACACTCCCATTATAAAAGAGCTGGAGACCCCTCTTTCAGGAGCTGAGAAAATTTGACCTGTGAAAAGAAGTCTAGACACTTCCAAAATACTCCTAAAGCATGTATGACTCGGATTTTACAAATGATGAAATATACCTGCACACAAATTGCTTACCCATGGCTGTGCTTTCTGTGATCCTCTTCTTCAGTTGCATCTTCCTCTTCTGCACTGCTGTCTTGGAATCGAGGGTCTCCCTGCCAGGCAATCTTCCCAGGTTTCACTGCTTCAACTCTGTAGGTCTCTGTATCATCATAACAATACAAGATGATGGAATTGTAACTGAGCAACCAAGTATTTCTGAACATGCTCAACTGATTCCTTTCACTATACACTTTCGTAAATTTCTAATATATGGATCATTAATTTAAAATAGCTAGAGTGATCATCTCCCCCTCCACCTCACCACCAATGCTGGAGATCAAACTCAGGGCCTGTGTATGCTAGACAAATGCTCTACCATTGAGCTGCAGCCCCAGCTTCTGAAATAGCTTTTTTTTTTTTTTTTTGCAGTACTGGGGTTTGAACTTAGGGCCTCATGCTTGTTAGGCAGGTGCTTTACCATTTGAGCCACACCTCTAAAATTCAAAGAAGATACTATGTTAATTTTGGCATTGGTAGAGTGACTGGATAAGGCATTTAACATTATTATTATTATTATTATTGGTGGTACTGGGCTTTGAGCTCTGGGCCTCACGCTTGCTAGGCAGGTGCTCTTACTGCTTCAGCCACTTCACCAGTTCTCTAACATTATTAAAAGGGACCCAAAAAAACCAAGATAGCATTTAATATCCTCAATACAAAGGAATTAATGCAGAAACTTTAAAGTGACAGAGGCCAACAGGAGAAGGGGACCAGGAGCTAGAGAAAAGGTTAGTTCAAGAAGAATTAATTTAGAATGTAACACATATGTACAGAAAAGCAATGCGAGTCAACTCCCTGTATAGCTATCCTTATCTCAACTAGCAAAAACCCTTGGTCCTTCCTATTATTGCTTATATTCTCTCTTCAACAAAATTAGAGATAAGGGCAAAACAGTTTCTGCCTAGTAGCGAGGGGGTGGGGGGGAGAGAGAAGGGGTGGGGGGGAAGGGGGGAGAAATGACCCAAACATTGTATGCACATATGAATAAAAGAAAAAAAGAAAGAACAATGTAATTTAAAAAAAGAATAGACAAAATAACCTTTGCATCTGTGCTACAAAGAGAACCCTAAAATATAACACTGATGCAGTGAAACTAGATTTCTCTCCTGCTTGTTAATAAGTGAGAAAAGGAACATATCTTTACATTTTCAAGTCTCAAAACCTCTTTGCAAAACTGCTGAGAAGGCTACTGCAATAAGATCTGGACAATCCCTCACAAGTCTCCAAAAGATTAAAAATCTCTCAGGACTCCTTTCCAGGCCAATATCTCACACTTGGCTGTCAAAGTCAGGTTTATACTTAATATTCAAATCAACTCTATTCAATAGTTTAGGAATGACCTTAGTGTCCAACTAGACAACACATACAAGAAAATGAATTAAGCAGAGGACATGGTGCACTGTGTTTTATTTCCAATTTTTAAAAAACTACTACATTGCTGTAGCTCCTTTTAGAGTACCACATTGCAGACATTTGATATATATCTGCTAAAGACATGGATGCTATTTTATTTTATGTGCCAATCTTTGAAGTAGGATCACACATGGTAGGTCTATCCTGTTCTTTATAGCAAACTTCTAGAAAATTGCACATGTATCTTGAACACTGGGTAAGGAATAGCCTGACAAAGAACAGTCTTTTTGTTGGGCATGGTAGTGCATTGCTGTAATTGCAGCATTCAGAACACTGTGCATCATCAGTTTTCGGCCAGCCTAGGCTACACAGGGAGACCCTGTTTCATATGTTAATAATAATAATACTAATAATACTACTATAATAATGATGATGATAAAAAACAAGTGTTTTTACCTATGGCCCATTTTGGTCTTCAGATACAATTCTCCTGATATAGGATGCAAAATTACAAGTACTGGTGTTTATATTTTTCTCTGTTTTGTCAACTCTCCCAAGATAAACTGTAACTGGCGATGGGTGACAGCGTATTTGTATAAAACCAAGAACGTTACCTGTTTCTTCCTTTCTCCTATCATCTGGAGCATTAGTTTCCCCTGAGTCATGGCATCTCCAACTACATATGAAATAGAGCTGCTGGGCACTGGTGGCTCACACCTGTAATCTTAGCTACTTAGAAGGCTGAGGTCAGAAGAACTGAGATTAAAGACCAGCCTGGGCAAGTCAGTCTCAAGAACCCATCTCTAAAACAACCAGAGCAAAATGGACTGGAAGCATGGCTCAAGCAGCTGAGTGCCTGCTTTGCAAGTGGGAAGCTCTCAATTCAAACCCTAATGGTGGGAGTGTATGACTCGGGGGAGGGGACCAGAGCTAAAATGATTTATTTTACTTCTTCATAACTGTTGTGTAAAAGAAGAAGAGATACAGCCTGATTCTCCGGCTTCCCTGCGATGTCAGGTAGCTACAGGTTTACTCCCTTAAATGCAAAAGTAGTTTATTTCACACCCTCAAGACCGTCTCATTTATGGTCATGCAACGCTGATTCTCACTGTTTATCTAGATCAAAGAAATAACCCTTTATTCAGACAACAGTAAATCCATTACACTTAATGTACAATCAAGCTCAATCTGCCTGAAATAAAGATGTGAGGAAAAAAGGAAAGTACCTTCCTTTACATCTTTAGTGTCTGACTCGAAGAAGGAGAATGTGAACCCACTGGGCTGCACGGGCCCACTCATCAGAGCTGCACCTTCACGGATGGCTTCCTTTTTCTCTCCACCACAGTCCTCATTCCAGAGTGTGTCTTCTTCCTTTTCACTGATGTCTTTCGTAGTTTGGAATATTTCTTTCAAGTCCATAGCAATGTCATAATATATTTCTTTAGACACCTCAGGCAGCTTCTCAGCTTCCTCCCTTTTCTTCTTTCGTTTTGCTTTACTGCAATGACACACCAACATGCACGTCACAAAGACAAGTTTTGGAAAATTTCTAAAACTCAAGAAAGGTGAACTCCGGGGATAATTTTAATTCCATCCTTTTAACAGCTAAGAAGAGCCACAGAGAACCTTGACCAAACAACCTTTTCTACACAAAACTGTCTCAAGCAGATGCAAATATTAACATGGTCATACTCTCCCTCTAAACTACTTTTCAGAAATTAATCAATCTATCAGGGGCTGGAGCTTGGCTCAAGTAGTAGAGTGCCTGCCTTGCAAGTATGAAGTCCTGAGTTCAATCCTAGTACCACCAAGCAAAAAACAAAAAAACAAGAAAACAAACCATCAGCTATAAGGACATCACTTAGCATCAATGGGCCTGTTTCCTCATCTGCAAAATGAACATGTTAAACCAGATGACTTCTAAGATCATTTTAACTTTTAAAATTCTGTGATGGATATGAATGAATAAAAAAAATTCTGTGATGGAAACGAAATCAATTATAACTCAACTTTAGAAATGAACTGTAAATGTGCTAAGTCTACTAGTCTCTTTTGGAATGAAATTTTATGTCTTCATACATCTGCTCTATAATTTAGAAAGGAATACACTTTCCTCTTTAATCTGGGACAAAAAGTTATATGGCAGCTCCCAATATAGAATTCTTAGCAAATAAAAGATTAAAATACCCTTTCCTATTAAGAGTCTAATGCACATAACATACGTAAGACCAGAACAAAAGTCCTTAATGAACTACCTAAACTGGAAGTAAGCAAGAAGTACTAAAAAGCTATTTTACATGATGGCTTTCTTTTCTTATGGTGGTACTGTAGCTTGAACTCAGGGCATAGCACTTGCTAGGCAGGCATTCTACCACTTGAGCCGTGCTCCCATCACGGTAGCTTTTTTTCAGGCAGTGCTGGGTTTTGAACTCAGGGCTTTATGCTTGCTAGGCAGGCACTCCACTGCTTGAGACATACCTCCAACCCCTAAAAAACTATCTTAATGATAGAGACCATCTTAGAGAGAGAAACTGTTCATGCAATTACTATGAAACTGAGTTCCATGAAAAAAATAGTGCCATATAGACACTTCCAAGTCATTATTACTGAACTTCAAAACTGGGGACCAGACAGGCAGAAATCAATTTCCCATCCCTTGAGCATGGGCTGGAGAAGTAACTCAAGTGCTACAGCATCTGTCTAGCAAGTGTGAGGCCCTGAGTTTAAACCCCCATACTACAAAAAAAAAAAAAAAAAAAAAAAAAAAGAGAGAATGTAGCAAATGTGGTAGTAAGTGACATCTGAGACTAGAGTCACAGCAAAAAATATGAAGGGTCTTGAAGAAACTATTGGTAAATGGCTTTTGAGGAGACTGCAGGTAAGAGCCTGCAGAAAAGTCAGGGAGGAAAATAGAGGAAGGGGGATCCTTGATATGTGGTGGCAGGAAGTTCAGCAACACTGTCACCTGTATTAATTTAGAAAGTGGAAAACACACCTAAATAACTGGGAGACCTAGCTGGGGAGATGTCCAGGAAAGTGTTGATGGTATTTTCCAGTTTTTTCTGGTTGCTTATCATAAAATATGAGAACAGAGTAAAATTAAAGGGAGGTTTTTTTGTTTTTTAAAGACTCTCTAGAAGGCAAATGATATGAAATTTAAGAAAACATGATCTAAAGCAGGAGTTAGCAAACTCTCATGTCACAGCCCATGGGTCAAACCCAGGTGACTGCCTGTTTTATGTCTTAGCTGAACATTAAGTGTATGTTTTATAGTTAGAAATAAATGAAGAAAAATCAAGATGATTCCATAACATGTAAAAGTTATATAAAAGGCAAATTTCAGTGTCTATTAATAGTTTTATTCGAACACAGTCTCCCTCATAAGCTGCTTTTCTTCTACACAGGTACAAGAGAGTTGTCCTAACAGACTGTCTGGCTTGCAAAGCCTAACAATTTACTATCTGTCCCTTTATAGAAAAATCTATAGATCTCAGTTCAAAAATAAAACAACACTCTTTGTTAAAACTCTACACACAGCTAAGAAACTTCAACTGTTCAAGCAAAACTGTATGTCAGCATTGTATCTCAGCAGTTTCAGAAGCCCAAGGTAAAAACGAGCTCAATTTACCTTTCTTTCGGTTTATCATCTTTTTTTCTTTCATAAGTGGCATGGTCCTGCCTTGTTGGATCATAACGTATGATGTCCCTATGTAAAAAAAAAAAGGAAGATTGGAAGAGATAAATTAGAACACTCATGAAAAAAATGGCAACTGTCAACACTAGGATGGATCTCTCGCTCTTTCTTTTTTGTGGTGCTGGGATTGAACCTAGAGACTAGAGCTTGCTAGGTGGGCACTCTCCCACTTAAGCCATGTGCCCAGCACTTTCTGTGTTGATTATTTTTGATAAAGGGTCTTACTTTATGCCTTTATGCCTGGGTCAGTTTGGACAGCCATCTTCCTGCTTCCCCATGTAGCTGGGATGGCAGGCACATACCACTGTGCCCAATCATTGATTGAGATAAGGTCTTGAGAACTTTTTGCCCAGGCTAGCCTAGAACTATGATCCTTCTGGATCTCACCTCCTCAGTAGCTAGGACTACAGGCTTGAACCACCATGCCCACCCATAGGGTATTTTTAAAAGTTCACACATGTTGCAAACTGCTCTCCCCAGGAAGCTAAAATTGACCTTGCTGGGCTGGGGCTGTAGCTCAATGGCAGAATGCTCAACTAGGATGTACAAGGCCCTGTTTGATCTCTAGCACTGCAAAAACAAAACAAAAAATGACCTGGTTTTAAACTGAGTTCTAGGAGGCATTTATGAACACTAGTATGCTAATTAAAAAAAAAAGTTATGGCAAAAGAAAACACACTAGAATAGAACAAAAACCATACTTAAATTTCTTAGCAACTACTGATCCTTTGTTCATAGGGTTGTTGAAGCTGATATTCAAAATACTTTGCATAACATTCAGGGTTTTCTTCTTTTCTGCAGCAAGCTCTTCTTCCTCAGCAGTTTTCTTTTCATTTACCTCTTAAAAGAAAAAGGATAATTAGCAATATATTGACAAAAATAGCTAAAGAAATCACAATCAGGAAATACATTAAGCACCAAAACATATCTAAAACACATCAAGATAGGAGAAGAAAAGTTTGACCCAATTTTGCTAATCTCCCTATCTCCAAACCCCTAATGCCACAAAAAAGAACCCAGAAATGACATGACCAACAAACAAAACGTCCTACATTTGTGATTATGAAAATAAAAATCTGGATTTAATAGCTTCAGTGGTAAGTCTAAACATTTTAAGGTAAAGACTGAAAAATGTAACACAACAAGATACTAATTATAAAACTAAAGTGATTATAGGACTGATCTTTTTCTTAACATTCTGAAAATGTAATCTAGATTACATATAAGCCCAAAAATGATAAGGACAGTGAAAGATGGTAATTTTCTTTTTTTTTTCATTTGTCTGAAGGTGACAGCAATGGCTAAATTAGTCATGTTGCTAATTCACCGCCAAAGGTTTAGCACATCAGAAATATCTTTTCTCTTGATATAAAGACAATGAAATGTGCATAAAGGTGATGATTTTAATCACTATTAATGTGACATACCAGAAGACAGTTGCTTCAGTTTTTGATTTATAAATAAATATTGCAGAATAAAGCCACGTGTCCTTCACACGCAAGGCATCATGAACTCTATAGGCTACTACTCTCAACTACTAGAAACACACAATATCAGAGAACAAAGATAAACAGCTAGTTTGGATAACAAAAATAGGAAATAAGTCTAAGCCTTTCACATCTTTCACATTACTATAGGACATTAACTAACAGAAACTAGAATAAAACATTGATTGAAGTTCTCTATAGAGAAGACCCCCAAGTCGCAAAGGATTTAAAGGAGGTAGAGAGTGTGCTCATGTGGATCAAGAATTGCTGGAAATGTTGGAATATGAAGTGGGAAAGACAAGTGTATCTCCAGAAGCAGAAGAGAATATAGGAAACAAAACCAACACATACAATGAAGTCAGAAAGTGCCCAGAGTTTAATTATAATATGCTGAAACATATTCACATTCAACCATTTTTCATTTTCTAAAATAGCAACTTCAATTTTAACTTAAAAGCTAAATGGTTCCTCAGTAGGGAGCAGGAGACAATGCTGGGAAATGCTTAAGATGCTATAGGCCAGCTGGGCTCTCTGTCTGCAGGAGAGAGATAAAATTGTGGCCCATATCCCTAGCTACTTAGGAGGCAGAGATCAGGAAGACCACGATTTAAAGCCAGCCTGGGGAAAGAGTTCACGAAACTCTAGCTCAAAAAAACCCTTCACAAAAAAGAGCTTGGGGAATGGCTCAAGGTGTAGGCTCTGAGTTCAAACCCTAGTACCTCAAAAAAAAAACAACAGAATTGTGCCTCAAGCCAGGAGCTGGTAGCTCATGCCTATAATCCTAGCTACTCAGGAGGAACAGATCAGGAGGATCAGGGTTCAAAGTCAGCCCTGAACAAATAGTTCACAAGACACTATCTTAAAAATATCCAATACAAAAAAGGGCTGGTGGAGTGTTTGAAGTGGTAGAGCACCTGCCTGGCAAGCATAAGGCCAAATTCAAACTCCAGTCCTGCTCCCCCATCCTAACCCCCCCCCAAAAAAAATTGTGCCTCAAAAGTTAGGAAGAAAAAGATTAAGACAGAGAGGTTCTATGTCCAGCCCCAAGAATCGAAGTGCCATCGACCCAAAGGGAAGGGCTCCAAGAAGCTAGTTTTAAGGAGGGCAAGAAGTAGAAGCCAATGTTTTTTTAGGATGCTGCACTTCGCTCCTGTAAGAATTTCTTTCTTTATTGCCACATTCACAATGCTGATACTTACGTATATAAGTTGTCCATAAACACATTCTCTCTTTAAGATGCTGAAATTGTAGAGAATGTAGCCAAAAACCATAATTAACAATGACAGTTTAAAAAAAAGAAAAAAAAAAAAGGAAAGCAAGAGAGAAAATCAATTTTGGACTTGCTGAAGGTTTTTTTTTTTTTTTTAAGATAGAGTCTCACTATTGAACTCCTGCCTCTGTATTCCAAGTGCTGATAACAGGTGTGCACCACATCAGCTCGCTGTATATTAATGCAAATTCAGGCTAGCCTGTGGGAAACATTCAGCAGACCCTGGGAGCAAAGAAAACCCAAATCTGGGGGATACCCATGTATAAGAAGTGAAGGCTAAAGTCATGGTATCTTATAAGATATTGGAAGAGCCTAAATCTGAAGGCAAAGGGGAAAAAAGAAGAAACCTAGGACAGTATACTTCAATGGCAGCAAAATGAGAGTGCATTTCAAGAACGGATAGTCAACAATGACTGTGGGCTACAGGGCCACAGTGGAGGTGGATGGGTGGAATTTGCCACTTGACAAATGCCACAAGTACAGAAGTTATTTACAAAAATGGCAGCACAAAAGAAAGTTATCTCCATGTGCAACTTCTAAACATAGTCTCGCTCACAGTTCTGTTAATTTCTGAGCTTTCAACATGAGATTTTGAGTGGAAGATTTGAAGTGCTGGTTTAGAAACATAAGTTGGTGTGGACCCTAGAGCCTCTCTGAACTCTGGTCTTCCAAAGTCTACAATACTGATAATAATCACCTTAAATAATTATGAGGATCAACTTAGAGACTGTATTCCAGAAAGTAGGTGAGAAAGTATATGAATAGTGATACAGATTAGATTAACTCAGGAAGGAGAAAAAAAAACAAAATTAAACAAGGATAGAGGTTCTGAGATTGGGAGAGGGTAAGTAGGGAAACTCATGGAAGGCATCTACATAGGAGATAAGGTCTTACAGATGTATGTGCTACAGGAAGTAGAATTAAGATGCTTCTGATAGCATCATTACTCTTAGATGTATCTAAGTAAGGATGAATTCAATGATACATTGATTTAAAAAAAAACACCTTTCAAGAATGTACACCAGAGGAAGACAGAGTCTTCCTAGTAGAAAGGCAAATGTAATAAGGTTTAGAGTCCTTGCCCAGCAAGTGTAAGGCCCTGAGTTCAAAGCCCAGTACCACTAAAAAGGGACCAAAAAAAAAATCTTAGAAGGCAAATGAGATTTAACCATCTTCCATCGCATCAACCAGAACCTGCCACACTACTGATATAGATTGCTAGGTAGGGTACTCAACCTTCCTCTTTCATGCCAGGGAAGGGATGCAGGAAAATGTACCTTTGGTGGATACTATTTCTTCCTGCCCTATTTGGCAGTTTCAAGAAATTAAATTTTACTAAATACGTAAAAAGAAATATTAAGTCAACTCAACACTTGATTATAAACCCTCAATTCAATGTCTTAAGGAGCAGAGTTTCACGTGCTAAATGGAGGGGGTGCACTGGATGATTTCTTATGTCCCCAACTCTGATGTCAGGACTGTCTGGACAATAAAAGCATTTACCTTCCTGTTCCTCTTCACTGTCACTCTCTAGAAATCGAGAGTCCATGCGGAATCTGTCATCGCTGCCAAAGTGTGACTGTAAATCCATGAGCTACACAGATAAAAAGCATACAGAATTGTCAACCATATTTCCAAGAAACTGCCTGTAAAGACTACTCTCCAAGTGTACCTCCTTCATCCTGAAATTCACATCATCAATCGAATAGTGTCACCTACCTGTAAACCAATCAGAGATCAGAGAGGAGTCACTCCCAAAATAAATACCCAACACTGGAATGGGGATCAAGGCCTCCCTGCATTTAATTACATTTCAGGACTACCTTGGAAAATAAGACATGCTGCAATTTTTTCTACTTTCAGTCTTCACTAACCTTCTGTCCAGCTCTGCCCTCAAAGTGAGGTTTAATTTTGAACCTGTCACTGTCATTCTCAGAATCAGATTCTCCATCATCGCTGCTGTCAAACAGCTTCCCAGGTGATTTACCCAAGGACTCCTGTCAGAGATTAAAACAAATGTTTATTAAACCTGTTGCAATCAGCATTTCCTTTATAATGTAATCTCCCCCTACATTTAAAAACCAACAACCCAGATGCATCTACCAGTAACAAGTAGGTGTTGGGTCAGATGGAAACTCCTGACTCAGGGATCTCTACGTGGCCTCTGGGATCATTAACCTAGATGCTTCCCAATGCTGCCTGGATTTGAGAGAAAATCATTACACACAAGAACACTTCTGCAGGCTTTCACCAATACTGCTTTGACTCAGCAATGATGTAGAGCCCTGCCATCTCAGTGTGTGGTGGCTAGGGCAGCCCTGTGTCTCACTGCAGCTCCCAGAAGAATTTTATGCTGAACAGACAGTTGTGTAGAGGTCTTCTTATGCAATAGACACAAACGGTTCTGCAACTGGGTGTGCTTGTGCATGCCTGCAATAATAACACTCAGGAGGATGAAGCAGGAGGACCAGCCGTGAGTTCAAGGCCTATACCTATAATCCTAGTTACTTAGAGACAAGGTCAGTCTGGGCAAAGAGTCAGTGAGAACTCACTTCAGTGGAAAAAGCTAGTCAAAGGATGAAGTAAGACTGCAGTCCAGGCTGGCTGAGGCAAGAAAAGCGAGACGCTACCTGAAAAATAACTAAAACAAAAAGGGCTGGGAGTGTGGCTTAAGTGGTAGAACTCCTGCCTTGCAAACACAAGGCCCTGAGTTCAAACCCCAATACTGCCCTCCCCACCCCCCAAAAAAACCCAAACTCCAAACCCAACAATGGAAAAAGAAAGGACTATAAAGTAGACAAATGTCCACAAGGATGTCTGGAATGACTTACTTTCACCAGCTCCTTTCTTGGATGGCTTTGCATCTGAGGGGATGGTTCATCCATTTCACTTGCACCATCAGAATCAAAGATGATGTGTGTGGGCTTGTTCTCTGGGTGACCGTCCTGGGAGGCCATTAAAAGCATCATTTTGGGGGGGGGGGTTTACGTTAGTACTCTCTTTCTTTTATTTTATCGTTTTTACTTTTACTTACATGTGTATACATTGTTTGGGCTACCTACCCTCCCCCACCTTTCCCTTCCTCTCCCCCGACTTCCAGGCAGAACCTGTTCTCTCTTGTCTCTGATTTTAGGCGATAGTAAGAAAGACATAGTGTTTTGGTAGTTTGAGATAAACATATAAAAGCATCACACTTTAAGACAATTCGTCCTCACACAGAACATGTCTAAACCCATTCTCCTTCCCCTGTCATGTCTCCTTCCATCCTTTCCTTATCTACTGAGTGCATCATTACCTGCTGTTTGCTTAAGACAGAAATTCAGGACACCTTTCTCTGCACATCCATTGGCCACAAATCCTATCAACCCAACCTTCTTGGTATCTTTAAGTGTATTCACACTATCACTGCCTTGGTTCTGGCCCTCAACTTCCTGAAGGCTCTCCCTAGTTCCAGATCTAACTTTCAATTGTTTTTGTTATGGCCTGAAAGATTGCTCCCAAGCAGAGGTTGACAGACCTCACCTGTAAAGGGCCAGAGAGTGACTCTACAGACCACATATGATCTCTGTTCTATATTAAAAACCATTTGTAGCTCCAAGACTGTACATAAACGGCCATGGGGACAGATGGCCTGCAAGCTGTAGGTGGCTTTACGTATCTAATTTTTGATGCCTTGATTAAAACTCTTCAGTTTTTTCAGCCTTTTTTTTCTCTTTCACAGCCTTAAGAATGAAGTCCAACCTTCACAGGCTCTATATAACTTATCCCTACTTATTACTTCTAACCTCTTTTTTTTTTTTTGCCACCTCACACAACATAAATCTCAGTCTCACTTAAGATATTTTTTATAAACTGCTCCCTTTTCCTGAAACATCCTTCCTCTCCTTGCTGCTCTTGTACCTCTAATTCTTATGTAACCCTTCACATTACTCAGCTGTAGCTGAGGAAACCTTCTGACTGGCTTGGTGCCCCAGGGGCTGTCGGCCATACCATGAGCCAACAGCTAGCTGCATGAGAGTCAGGACCATCCTCGTTCTGTAAGGCTACCATGTACATGTGAACTTAATGACTGTTGGAGGAATCAGAAGAGGCTCATCACAGTAAATCTTAGCAAGATATAAATCACTTTGTAGTCACTATTATACCAGTTATAATTTCCAAATGAAATGATGAAGAAAATTTTAGATAAATTTAAAATGCTTCCAATAAACAGAATTTAATTTCACTTCCTTTGGTATACAGTAAATATTAGGGTGATAAAAGCTTCTAACTGAGTTAAGTGTTGTTGGCTCACGTCTGTAACCCTAGCTACTTGGGAGGCTGAGATTGGAAGAATCATGGTTTGAGGACAGCAAGGGCAAAAAAAAAGCTGTAACTTTTATAAATATCCCATCTCAACAGAAAAAAAAAAAAAGCTGGTTATGCTGGCATGCACCTGTCATTCCAGCTATGGTGGGAAGCTAACAGGAAGATTGAAACTGGTAAATACTAAGACCCTGAGCTCTAAGGGGGCACACCTACTTTCTTTTTCTCCTTTATTATTGTGATGGGTGGGGGTACATTGTGGCATTTACACAGGTTCTTACAATGTGTCAACTACATCATACATGAATTCACCTCCTCAACCATTCTCCTTCATTTCCTTCCCCCCACTGTCTCCTCGCCATGATTCCTGGAGTATGTTCAACAGGTATCATTTTTAAATTTACTAACGTGTACATATTTTTTACACCTATTCACCCTCCTACCCCCTTTTCCCCAACACCTCCCTCCTCCCACTGGTGCCAGCCCTCCCCCACGGACCCCCTGCCAGGCAGAACTTGTTCTGCCCTCCTATTCTCCAATATCATAGGAGGAAAAAGAGAAAAGATAAAATGAAAACCATGACATTTTAGCTTCAGATAAAGGTAGTTGCACAGGAAGTTTCCTTGTGAAATTTTCCAAGCATGTATTATAACCCCAGTGGATTTATTCCTCTAATTTTCTTCATTCTACCTTAGTCCCTTTTCTTATGGTAGTTTCAGTCAGTTTAAGATTTCTATATCACTCTTGTATAGTGAGTATATCAACCCTATTTGGTTCTTAGTTTCCCTACCCTTCTCATGCATGACTTCCTTAGTGTGACCAGTATTCTGTAACACACCTACTTTCACGGGAAGGAAAAGCTGGACAGTGTTCTTACCACATCCATACAATGCAAATATACTCACCAAATTTGCCAGTGCGTTGTGCACCAGCTTCTTCTGCACTTCTTTGACTTTCTGCCTTGCCTCCAAGGCTGCCAAACGCTTCTGATTGTCTTCAGCTTGTTTATCCTTAGCAGTCACATCTGACGAATTACTAAGAGAAAGTGAGAAATCAGCTGTGCTTTTCTGAGTGTCTTTCTTGGGAGAAACCTTTGGTGGTATCTCAAGAGATGTGAGGCTGTTGACATCAGACCCCTTTTCCTCAGAAGCTCCTTCAATTTTTTTGGCACTATGGCAAGTGTCTTTGTCAGACCCTATCTTGTGAGTCTTTGCAATCAGACTTAAGGATTTCTTACCTTTTAATGACAACTGACAAGAAATAGGATTTTTACTTCCCTTTTCTGAATTGCTAGAGGACAATACCTTGTGATCCTGGTTCTCAAAAGTAAATTGTCCTTTTTGAGGCTGAATGTGGTTTAGGTGTTCAACTTCTTAGAAGGATGGTATGAAGACAGTTTGCTTGATAAGCCATTAGCATATGGGGATCCACTTTTCATGGGAATGCTATTGGGATCCTCATATTTTAAGGAACCCTGACCTTCATTAGTATTATCAGAGGTAATACTCTCTTTCAAGGTGTTTTTCACTGACTCCTTTCCATAGAGACAGCCCACTCCTCTGAATGCTTGGAACTTTGGTTTTAAGTTGTTTTCCTTTGGTTTCTGATTACTGTAAGTATTCTCTTCCTCTAAAAGAGAAGCCAAGATCTCCTCAGGACAAATGCACCATTGGCCTCTGGAGAAGCCACGGGGAGTCTTGGGACTCTTGGAGGCTCTGCTGAACTTGTAGTGACTGGTGGTCTCTGGGCCACCACACTCAGAGTCTTTTTCTGGAACCTCCTGATCACTACCAGCCAACCGTTCCAATTCAGCTAAAGTGAAATTCACACGGGGGCAATTTTTCATCATGGCTTTATATTCTTCATCTCTCTCAGATTCTTCATTGTGACTGCTGCAAGAGTTGGATGGAGATTTATGATTAAGAGGCTTCAATCCATGACTGAACGCTGACTCTTTGTTGTTTTTTCTCTTTTGCACTTTAATACAACAATCAGAAAGCTCTTTCTTTTTGAAAGATGTTTTCTTTCGTGTAGATTTTTCTGTCTGTGAAAATTCTGCACCGTTTCTGACCTTACCAATGTTTTTTTTCATAGCAATGATTTCATCTGTATCACTTGAGTCATATTCATAATCATCTCCCATAGTATTTGCACTAACATGGTGGGAGACATTACTGATCATTAAATTTGTTAATGAATGAAGTTTGTGAACATCTGATTTAAAATCACCCCTTACAACTTCAAAAGGATCATTTTCAGATTCATTTATTGACGAACACATACCTCTCTGTAAATTTTCCACTTTTGCAATCATCATTCTTAACTTATCTTCAGAGTCAATACCATCATCAGACATGCTGTTTCTGTTCCAAGCAGTTTCCAAGTCAGAAGTCCAAAAAAGTACATCAGGTTTTTGAATACCAGAATTGGGCACAGGCAGTGACTCAGAAGTGGTAATGGAATCACAAGCTGCCTTCTGAGCAACCTGTTGCTGTCTGGATATGTTATTCTCCATTACTTGACTAACCCTTGAATTCACAGAAGAACCCTTGGACCTAGTGGAACTCTCGCCCTTCTGCACTTTTATGATCTTTTTGGGAGGGCCATGAAAGTCAGAGAACTCTCCTCGACGTTTCTTACTCATAGGGTCATTGCCTCCTTCCAATTCCCAAGTAAGGTTACTTATGGGAATGGTATTTGTGAAATCCTCCCCTATCTTCTTTAGGTTGTGGCAGTATTTTGATGGATCATATTTCATGATGTTACCCAGAGTCAAGGAACAAAAGCACTAGGCATTAGGAAAACCTATCAATCTGGTGAGACAAATAGAATACTGTTTAATTCTGAGTAAGTCATTACTTCATCTTACCCTCAGTTTCCCACAAATGAGACATCCACTAATAACCTTCCAGGATCTAGAAAACTGAGCTTTCCATAACATTACCAGAGTTAAAAACAAAACGTCATCATTATCAGTTAGCAGAAATCACTGGATGGTATGTAAATATCATAGCAAACCCTCCGATAATACACACATACCCTTGGCACAGAGGACCATGAGATTAGCTTTTCAAGATCTCAGATAACCTGACCTTACTGAACAGGAATCAGAACTTGCTCACGCTGGGCTCCAGGACTTCCCCATTCCCCATTCTCCTGTCTGTCTGCTTTTAAAAAAAAAGTTTGTTTGGCAGTACTGGGGTTTGAACCCAGGGCCTCATGATTGCTAAACAGGTGACTCTACCACTTGAGCCACTCCACCACCTCTTTTTCCTGTTGGGTATTTTCGAGATAGGGTCTCAAGGACTGTTTGTCTGGGCTGGCTATGAACTGCAATCCTCCTGATATCTACCTCCTAAGCAGCTAGGACCACAGGTGTGAGTCACTGGCACTGGCCATGAGCTGCGACCCTCCTTGTAACCACCTCCTAAGCAGCTAGGCACAGGCATGAGTCACTGGCGACCAGTTGAGTATCTTTAGAACCACTTTGTCCTATCACCTATTAATTCAAAACACATCATTTCCTCTAAAATCTTCTTTAATAATAAGCCCTTGTCCCTGGATAGCTCCTTTACAAATGGCTATGAATTCCTATGAAATATGAGATAAACTAACAAAATTTCTTTGGCGTTCATCATTCATATTACTTAATCTTACAAAACTCTGACACTGTCTCATTATTCTCTAATTATTTTATATGTGTAGGGAAGTATATCTTATCTTGCCTAGAAAATGGGAACACATAAACTGTTAAAATACCTAAAATTTTACTGATAAAAGCAGTGTGACTGTAAAGGTACTTTGCAAGTATCGATCACTGTGGTAAATAATATTTACTCTGAGAGGCTAATCACAAAGGATATTTTATGTTTATGTTGATTCTTAAGATGAAGAATAGGTAAGACTCGTCCAAATTTACTCACGACCCAATTCTAAAGAAAGAAAGAAAGAAAAAAAAGAGATAAAAACTTATTTACCATATATGTCACAAATGGCAATTAATAAGTTTTAATAACTTTTTTAAAAAGTTGAACTCACAGTGGGCTATTATAACTATAAAGTTTAATTTTCTGACAATGAAACAAGAACTCTCAGAGAAAAAGTGTGAGAGGTAAGAAAAAAGAAGGAAATTTGGAGACGCTATTAATTCCACATATGTCATAGAGAATATTACCAGCTATTAAGAAGGCAATCTTATAATTTTTTTTTTTTCTTGGCAATACTGGGGTTTGAACTCAGGGCTTTGTGCTTGTTAGGCAGGTGCTCAACCACAGGAGTGGCTGTGCCAGTCCCAAAAAGGTAATCTTATGACCTGCCTGTACTTCTCACCACATAAGTCCATTGGGAGATGGTCTCCTCCTGAGTTTAGTTTATTCTCTGTATAAAATGGTGGGAAACTAGCTTATTTAAGAGTTGTGAATTCATAATGAAAATTATAAAATGCAATCTATATTAACCACTTCAAAGTAAGGCAAAAAAGCAACTGGATTTAGACATTACACCCACAATCACATGGTCTCAGATATCAGTTCCAGGTTGGCTCAGGCTACCAGAAGATACTCACTTTATGTCCTGGTACTTCTGTCCCTGGCACAGCTTTCATATGGAAATCTATTCCTCCCATCTTTTCCAAGTTGGTGCTGCCTGTTGTTGAATTTTCTTCCTTTACTTTTGCTTCTTTTCTTTCTTCGGCCAACCTAATAGAATGTAAAGTATAAACAAATGGATTAAAATAACCATAGCAACAGCAATACAGACAGACCCTGTGTCTAGGCCTGGTGCCATGAACTGGCTGTGCCTCAAGCCTACAGGTCCTTTCCCTTGTCTCCTCAGTTTTCCATTTTTTGGATTTTTATTTTTTATTGTGATTAAACTGATCAGACTTCAGGGTCAATTTAGGTGACCCTAAGTTAGCACCATGATATTAAAAATTAAAATAAAACAAAAACACTTTGTTAACAGCATAATGACCTATTTTCTGAACACACAAGATATTTTCATTGGAGAGTAACTAGAAAACAAAGAAATGCAAACAACAACAAAAATCCAACACATTCCTTAGTCCACATTCTATTTTTAAAGCTTTGTCTACTTACTTCAGCTTTATTTTCTACATAAATATATAAATTTTAAAATGTAATCTGAGTGGAATGGCCCTGGTGGGAGAGTGCCTGCCTAGCAACTGCAAAGCCCTGAGTTCAAACCCCAGTACTTTAAGAAAGCAAAACAAAACCGCAATCTAAATTACCCTGTAGGTGTAACTGGTACTCTTTTTCCCTCTCATAATTACATACTTGGAGAACATCACTGTGACTGCTGCACCACACACATTTCTAAGATTTATAATTTAATTACAGTCCCCCATTGTAGGTGAACGAGTTGCAGAGAATTAAGTGAGAAGGTCTCTCTCTTAACTCCTGCACCGCCCCCACCCCCTGCACCCCCTCATCTGTGCTGTGTTACAGCAGTGGTCTTAGTGTTCTTTCATGGCAGACGGACCATAAGCCCCACTGGTATATTCATTTTTGTGTGGTCCGGGATCACACCCAGGTCCTTATGCATGTTAGGCAGGCACTCTACCACTAAGCTACATCCCTAACCCTTTCATCTATACACCCCTAAATGTTTCCCATTTTGAAAGCTCCCAAAGTAATCTTTTCTCTGTGAATAATTAACTTTAGGATTTTAAAAGCTCTAATGCAGCAGTTCATGCTTGTAATCTCAGCTATTCAGCAGGCAGAGTTAGGAGGATCACGTTTTAAGGCCAGCCCAAGCAAAAGTCAACAATACCCTACCTAAAAACAAGCTGAGTGTGGCAGTACAAACCTGTAACCCCAGCTACTTGGAATCATCTCCATCTGAGGCCAATCCAGGCCAAAAAAGCATGAGACCCTAACTTATAAACAAACTAAAAGCAAAGACCAGGGTGTGGCACAAGTGGTGGAGTACTTGCCTAGTAAACACAGGGCCCTGATTTCAGTCCCCAGTACCATCAAAAAAGTAAAAATAAAAATAAAATAAAAGCTTTAACAGTTCTTACGAACTGTTGTTCCGAACTTGTGCATAATTATTCTTATGCCTCTCATATAGATATCTTCTCTTATCTTTGTATCTTTCAATGACATTAGCATTAACAGTCAAAAATCAATATAACAACTCAGAAGGATCTATCAAATTTAACTCTAATATTCACCAACTCTACTGTTTGCCACAAACCCCAGAGAAACACTTATGCATATACAAGAGACATCCTCAGGGATTATCTATGATCATGAAAAGGTGGAAACAGACATTAGAGGGATGGGATCAACTATACTGTGGCACAGCCATTTTCAAATAGTACCAACAGTCATGACAAAGGAGAGGGAAGGCTACATTGCCACAGAAGGTTGTAGCAAAGAGAAACAAATTTATTAGCTTAATATACACATGCAAATGCACTGAATTCTTTTTCTGTGAGGTCTCAGGTTAAAGAGAGTCAGAACTGACAGGGATGTCAGCTCTACTTGTCATGTGTGAATTTGATAGTAACACATTATATCATTTCAAATTAAGTGAATAAATAAAATTGCTTACAATATAAAAAAATAGCACTTAAATCCATGTGGGGCAAACCTTACCTGTGCAAAAAGCTTTCTTTTGCTAGCTGAATTTGTAGTGTTCCACCCTTCCATTTTGTTTTATTTAAAACAGACATACCTATAAGGTAAAGAATTATTACTGAAGTACATGGCTATGCAAAAGTATTTTTCAGCACACACTTTTTCTAATCATTTAGTAATAAGAGAAGTAGACTTGTTTATCATAAAGGGACACCTAAAAAGTAGAAGAAAGAGCCAGTCATCAGTGGCTCATGCCTTACTCAGGAGGCAGAGATCAGGAGGATAGCAGTTCAAAGTCAATCTTGGCACTGAGACCCTATCTGAAAAATACGCAGCACAAAAAAGAGCTAGTGGTAGAGTGCCTGCCTAGAAAGCATGAGGCCCTGAGTTCAAACTCCAGTCCCACCAAAAAATAAAAATAAAAAAATTAAAAGTAGAAGAAAGAAAATGTGACCTGGAGACACTTCCGTTTTACCCTGACCACTTACTGGAGGTTTCTTAGTTCTCTGACAGTTATTAGAAAGATTAGAATGAGGAAGAATGTGTACACTGCCAAGTAAAACTTATTTGCAATTTCTTTATAAGCTAATGTCAGAAACTTCTGGTGAATAACTGACATTTACTTAATATCTTGTTGCTATTTCCCACACTGCAACTATGAAACAATGAGATGTTTTCAGGGCGAATCAGAGAATCCTATAGCACCTTACTTTTATTTATGACCTCAAAACAATTATCATTATAAACTGCAAGCAAATTAACTGCGAGCGACTGAACTGTGTTGGGACTGCTATGCTATGCCTAGTGGTTATTTCTAAATATCTGCTCCCAGCTTCCTCAATAGTAACTACTAACAGAATTTTCCATGTGATAGATACTATATGAAGTACAAATATATTATTTAATCCTTACAGTAATATTATGAGGCAAACATTATCTTTTTTCATTCACCAGGTAAGCAAACCAGGGCTTAGAAATCTAAATAAACTGCCACAGGTCACACAGCAGAACTGGCGTGTTCTTAACTATAGTTTCATATTTGTCATGTTTCCTCATTGGACAAAAATCTTTTTGCAGAACACACTGTTAAAGACTGATGGCCTTCTTCTTTTAACAGCATGTTCCTTTACTTAATTTTTAATGTCTTTTGATTTTTTTAAGTGGTTTATTTATTTTTGGCAGTACTGGGGTTTGAACTCAGGGTTGCACTCTTGCTAGGCAGGCAACCTACCACTTGAGCCACTCTGCCAGCCCTTTCTTGTGTTGGGTATTTTGAGACAGGGTTTCTTGGACTACTTGCCCAGGGCTGGCTTCGAACCGTGATCCTCCTGATCTCTGCCTCCTGAGTAGTTAGGATTACAAGTGTGATCCACTGGTGCCTGGCTCTTTTTAACTAGAATACCTTACTGTGTAAGCAGCATAACAGATTAGCTCTCCTTCCTTCTTCGTTGAAAAACATCACTTTCAGCTTTACTAAACTCATAACAAGAGATACCACAGTTTTAGCAAAACAGTCTTACAGGGGCATATTCTAATATTCTGTCCTAACATTATTTAATGACAAGGATTAGCTTCCCAAGAACAGACTGAGCAGTATGGCTTAATAGTTGATGGGATAAGTGTACAATGCAATTTTTATCAAAGTTTGGTTCCCTGTTCACTTTTTGAGCAAACCCACTAGCATGTAGTACTACAGGTCTGCTGACACAAATGGAATAAACTTAAACCTTGGATACCAGAATTCTCTTGCTCATGGTTGTCCCTCTATTTATCTTAAAAGTGGCTGCTGAGGCTTAGCTTTAGAACCAAAGTTATTCAAGTTACACAGCAATACCAACTAGCAAGTATTAAAGAAAATATATGACAATCTTACATTTTTTCAGGTCTGCTTCTGTGACTCTTATGTTAACATATGCAAAGACTTTCTGTGGGTTTCCTAAAAAAAGAAAAATAAGTTTATTTAAACTCTTATCAAGGGAACAATGTTAATCCGACTTTCTAAATTTAAAAGATGAATTCTTGGAAATTTCTTTCAAAGAAAAACTTTATTTTTCACTGGCTACAAAGATGGCATTTTTCTAAGTATGATCATCAAGAGTTCCAAAAGAAAAAGTTAAGCAATTAGTTAAAGAACATTTTCATTATATGTTACTGATACTCTACTTAAGAGAACACAGTTGGTTCTAGAATGTTAACTTTGAAAAACTGGAGGTTAAGAAATCAAATGTTTTAGGATTTTCCTGATTTCAAAGTTAATGTTGGTCAAGTTCCACATCAGACATAATACTTGCAAGGCATTGCATATCACTGTCAGTGTTGAGAGCTAACATTCATCTCTGGAGTTGCTTTATTCTGTAATACTTGCTCTGAGTTAGGTCTTCCTTTAACTGCCCAGTGAAAGGTTATAAATTTACCTTGGTCATCTTTCCGTGTGATGATCTCCACGTCAGAAACTTCTCCAAATCTGCTGAATTGATTCTGCAGGTCTCTCTCAGAAATGGCCTGACTAAGGCCACCCACAAAAAGGCGCTTTGTTTCTCTGTTGGCTTTCATGAAGGCTGGTATAAATCTGGTATGTTCCAGTGGGAAATATAATTTTCTGTATGAGGGATTCTTTCCCATAATTCTTCACAATGTCACACAACTCCTTCCCCTGAACTCTGTGCCAAATTTTATCCCTGGAGATTCTTCCAAATTTTATTTATTGTATTGCTTCCAAATTTTATCCCTGGAGATTCTGCTTAAGACACACAACCACACTCTCTGTGAATGCACACTGGAACCGTACCCATATAGACACAGGCACAGGCAGGTGTTTTCCCTGTACACTACCACAATTAGTATATGCTACTTCTTTTAATTTACTTCACATTACTAGGTATTTTCCCTTGATTCATTCATACAGCCTTTTTTTTTTTTTCCGCTTTAACGGATGCTGACAAAAAAAACAGAATGTGCCAGGCAATACGCTAAAGGATAAAAACACATCTCCATCCTGGAGCTCCAGTCATAAAGGAAGTAAACAAACGCTGCAATTACGATATTATGGAACAATAAAGATGACTGCAAAGTGCTGTTCAGGCAAGTGACATGGTGGCTAAGAAACTTTTTTTTCCCCGCTATGTGCCTGCAGTCTACAAAGCAGTTTGCGTGTGTCCCATTTTTTAGATAAGCAGGAATACCATAAAGGTGGTGAAGTCAAGATCAAAATACAAGTCTAATTTCTGGACTCGGAACTGTTAATACGGAAGCTGTTGGAAGTTTCCCAGAGACACAGTGGTTGCGCGCCCGTCATCTCTCTCGTCTGCTTTAGGACTTGTAGGCGCCCAGCCCTCACCTTCCCAAAAAATGACAGATTCCTTAAGCGAGATCACAAGACAGAGCCAGAAGCCCAACGCATGGCCTGCAACCTTGGCGAGAACTACAGCGTACCTCCTTCGGGTAGCCACCGCCCCTAACCTACGAATTCCACCTTTCTTCCTCAAGAACACCCAAAGATGAGAAAGGAGAGGCTAGGCGCAACAGTCCATTCACGTCCCACACTGTAACTCACAACTCACCACGTTAGCCACCAGAACCCGAGCTGCGGCTGCCCCTAACTTCCGGTCACGTGACCCAGTCAGAGCACTTTTCTTCTTCTTCCGACACAATTTCCAAGCCAGTCTCCTCAGGTTCCGCTTCCACACTCAGTTCTGAATTCCGCGGTCCAGACTACCAGGTAGCTTCCGCTACCTTCTACCCAATGTCCACAAAAGAGCTTAAACCAAAAACTTCCTAATTTCTATTGGAAAGATTTGCCGGCGTGTGTTCATTGACTCCAGGACTGTGTAGGCCAACGTGATCAAGCGGAAGAAAAATAAAGGAGCTCTCCTCTTCACGTTTCCGGGAACAGCCTCTTCATTGACGTAACGTCTGGGTGGTTCCAACATTGCTAGCGGGGGTGGACAAGGGGAGAGCGTGGGCTTTGTGATGGAACAAGTCAATCTTCAAAAGATTTGGGATTATTTAGAGACAACCGTGGTAGCGTGCAGATGTACATCAAGGAGTCAAGCACTCGACTGTAGTTTGAACTTGGGCGTGGACGCGCTTCACTCTTGCCACCTCACCCCCTAACCTCTGGAATGGTGAGCGCCGGGAGCGGGCGCGAGGCTTGAAGCGCCTGGCCGCGCGACCTGGGAGGCACTGACAGCCGGGCGCCGGGAGAGGTACTGAGGGCGGGGAGCGAGAGTGAGCAGGCCCATGGATGCCGAGCGGGACGAGGTGCGCGCCTTGAAGGCGGAGATCGCTGCGCTGCAGCGGGCTTGTGATGTGCTGCCGGCGCCCTGGGAAAACACGTCCCGAATTGGGTACGTGGTCCTGTCCGCCCCCTCGGGACTGTCCGCTGTGCTCCCCAGAAAGGCAGAGGGATCTCCAGACAGCTGCGCGTTCCGACTCTCTCAGGCCCCGTATTGAAAACTGTAGTGAGGGACGCCCCAAAATGTGGACTTGAACTTACTAATGTTGATTTTTTTTTTTTAACTAACTGTGGCTATAAGCGGTGAGCACTGCCTTTCAGTGTCTGAAATCATTTAGATCATGACTATCAAGAGAAAGTTTTGCCTTCGACAGGCAGCCTTATCTAGATGTAACCTAATAGCTCTGGTTTCGTGGCATTTGCTTTTGTGAGTCACCTAACCAGATTAAGTGCTACTGATTTTTTTCCTTTATGTTAATGGCATAAGGGGCTTGGAATACATAGCTCAGTGGCAGAGAGCTTGCTTAGCGTGCGCGAGGTCTTGGGCTCCATCCTGGCACCGCAAAAATAAATTTTCCTTTGAAAAATAACTTAGATTAAAAAAAAAAAAGTTAAGAGGTGGAGTTGTGGCTTAAATTGCAGAAGGCCTGCTTGGCAAGCACAAAGCCCTGAGTTCAAACCACGAACCGCCGAAATCAATAAAAAAGTTGATGCAACGAAAAGTTGCTAATTTAGCCCAGGAGAATTTGACAGTCCTCTGAGGAATGTGTTATTGTGAATGCCATTTTGAAGTTAAGGAATCTAAGAATCAAAGAACTTGACCAAGGCCCAAGAGGAATCTATAGTTCAGGCTTTCTCTTTGATGGGGGAGAGAGAGAAACAGTTAATTATGTACCATCTCAAACACAAAAACAAAAACCGTTTCTTTACAAGGGAGGGCAAAGGTATTAAAGAGCTTCACTACTCCAGCTGACCAGCAGATTGCATGCATAAGGATCACCTGGAGTTTGTGAGACCTGCAAACTTGGTCCCAGCCCCACCAATGAATCAGAATCTGTGATTTATCAAGACCCCACCACAGATTTGTACTTACATTTTATTTTAAAAATTAGCATATAATTGTTTATTAGAGTTTTGGGTTTTTTTTTTTTTTGCGGTAGTGGGGATTGCAGTACAAGGCCTTCACTTTTGCTACTCAAGTGCTCGACCACTTAAGCCACACTCCCAGACCTTTTATGCACACTTTTAAAGTTTGAAAACCACTTGTCAGACTACGGGAAAAAATAGTTTCTTTACTGAACACAAGATGTCATTATTAACCCAGGTTAGTATAGTAGATTATTTATGTAATCTGGGACTCCTTGATGATGGAGTTGGGAAAGTTAGAAGAGTCCAGATTGTGGGAGATGTTAAGTGTCAGTCCACAGCTGGGTGTGGATGGGCACATCTGTAATCCCAGCACTCGGAAGGCTAAGCCAGGAGGATCATGAGTTCCAGGCCAGCCTGGGCTATATATGGAGAACTTGTCTCAAAAACAAACAAACAAACAAAAAAAAATGCCAGTCCAAGGTGTTTTGGTCCAGGATTTATGTGAAGTTTTTCCTCCTATGTGGAGAAGGAAGATTGGAACTGTGTATCAAACTACTTTTTATGTGATTTTTAAATGGATTGGAGATAGTGAAATTGAAGCTATATTATTATTCAGCTATCTCCATGTGTGTACACTCTAAGTCAAATTCTCTGCCTTCAATTCTGCCTGTGTTCGTGGCTGAGTGATCTTGACTGGGTGATCTCTTCCTCCAGTGCTCCAGTTTCCTTCTTGGAAAAATTGGCTGACCTCCTGCCGAAGCTGTCCAAATGCTGGCATTACAGGTGTGCACTATTACAACTGGCTTTAATTTATAAATCTTACAATTGTCGCTCACATGAAAGCTTCGTCACTATAATGTGCTACTCTTAATTAACAATTTTTCAGGTGGTTGTGAGAATTGAGTTAATATATACAAAATTCATTTAAAACGGTACTTGGCTTACAATTGACTTAAATTTAAGTCATGCATAGATTTTTTTTTTTAATGTGCTTTTAATTTTTTTGGAAGTACTGGGGTTTGAGCTCCGTCTCACGCTTGCTGGGCAGGTACTCTACTGCTTGAGCCACTCAGTCAGCCCTAGGGTTTTTTGTTATTTTTGTTTTTTTGAGGCAAGGTTTCTCACTGTGTAGCCCATGTATACAAATACAGTTGTATATTTGATTGTTTTTTGTTGAAACTAGGAATTGTAGGGTTGGTAGTCACCTTGGTTTTGAGAAAATTCTTAGGTTGAATGTGTAGAGATTATGAGGAACAAAATGAGAATGTTTTGAGGAAAATTGGGTATTAGGTGAAATAATTATTAGTAGTTGGAATAACTGTTTCTGATATTTGCTTTTTTTCAAGAAAATCATTTCAGGAAATACACAAATCAGATGCTGAGGGATGGGACTCTTCAAAAGACCTGAGAAGTCAGCTTGGACATTTAAAATCAGAACTGTCTTTTCTAAGTGTGCTTACTGGCTTCAATATAAGAAATTACTCCATGAAGACGGAGGACCTAACGAGCTCTGAGATGGTAGGAAAGGGTAAGCATTATTTTAAATGTAGAAGTGGTTTTGAAGATCATCTTATTATGCACGGAAATTGGTTGTCACAGTGTTGAATTAAAATTCTACAAGTTAGGGCTTCAGACCCCTCCAATACTGGGGACTGTATTCTTCACTATTTTTTTTATCTCAATAAACTCTCCCACTTTACTTACACACAAAAATAATAAGTTTAAAAAAATTCTGCAAGTTCAATGTTGTGGTACACTTATTCAGTGAGGAATCTTTTGAACATCACATTGTGCTCAATAATTTTTTTTTTTTTGTGGTATTAGGGTGTGACTTCAGGGCCTTGTGCATGCTAGGCAGGCACTCTAACACTTGAGCCACACTATTCTTAAAAGTTGCCTAAAGTAAATATTAAAGAACAGAACACAGTGTCCTTAAGTAACTTCTTAGTCAAGTAATAGTGATATGGGATTTGTAATTTAACAGACATTTATTTACTTATTTCAGGTATTGGGGATTGGATCCAGGGCCTTATACCATTTGAGCCACACCACCAGCTTATTTTGGGTTTTTTGAGACAAGGTCTGCTATGTGGCCCAGGCTGGGTTTCTGCCTCAGCTGCCCAAGTGCTGGCATTACAAATGTGCACCATTACCCTTGGTTTTAATTTATAGATCTTACAATTCATCACTCACATGAAAGCTGCCTCACTATATGCACTACTCCTAACTGTCATTACCTATGGTCAATAAATGATCAGCAGCTAACGCTTTTGCCAGAAGGAAGGGATCTGGTCCTCATGACTAAGTTTTATTACCAAACATCTATAGTGCCTTGACAGGCAAAAGGAATCTAATTTAGCCTTGCAACTTGATGTTAGGAAATTTGTTTGGACAAAAACAATGTTATTTCAGCAGAAATCATTTTTGGAAGTGCTTTCTGATTTTTCTATTGAAATAACTCTTAGAAGAGGGTGAGAGAGCCCAGACGGTCTTAGGCAGCTAACTATAGGGGTATTTTGAGTTACTTACAGAAATGGAGTGATAGAATTTAGAGACTTTAATTGCCTGAAAGAAAGAGATGGGATACTGAAAGTACAGAAAATAAAGGGCTGGTGGGGTGGCTCAAGAGCTAGAATGGAGATTTCAGACAAGGATATTGTAAGTGGAAATACTTTCCTTCTCAAAGTACTCATGTTAGAAAATTTGGAAAAATATAAATACATACATTTTTTTTTCGATGCTGAGGATTAAACCCAATGCCTTTGCACATGCTGGGCAAGTGCTCTACTACTGAAGAAATATTTTAAAGCCATAAATCAAAATAGTAGTGGGAATTTCCTAAAGTGATTTGTAAAGTAATTTAGCCAGAGAAATAGTACTGGAAGAGAAGCATTTTGAACAGAAAAAGAATGCAGACTGACGCAAGCAGGCAAGTGGAATCTAAATGTGAATAAGCAATGTGACAATACAGTGCTTTGTGTCAGTGGTTTTCAGATTTTTTTTTCCTTTTTCACAACAAAAGTACCTCCCATATATATACTTGGATGATTTCACAAAAAGAGAAACAGGTGATGGGCTTCGCAGCATAAAAATGCCTGAAAGCCCTGTCATTGAAGATTATATTTACATGTGTTATAGTTTGTTATAAAATAGAAAAAAGATAGCCAGGTAAAGTGACTGTTTCTGAGGCCAAGTGATACAGCATTGTTCAAACTCCTGTTTATTTATTTTTATTTATTTATTTATTTATTTATTTATTTTGTGTGTGTGTCTGTGTGTGTGACAATTAAGGAACTGATATTATTACAGTTTTATTTTTTTGAGACTGCTGGCCTTGAAATTCAGCCTCCTCAGTGTGTGATTACAGGCATGTACTACCATGCCTGGCTTATTACAGTATTAACAGAAAAATCAATTATCTCATATCATGCTTTTGTATCCCACTTGTCAAACTCTTATTTATAACTCTCTTTTTTGACAGCTTTTTCATCTACTGAGCAAACTGACAGCCAAACACCTTGATTTAGGTTTAAGGCCATCAAATTGTTATTTAATCCACAAATATGTACTGTGTTTAGCTGAGTCACTTGGTTAGGTGTTGCTGAAAAGAATAATTTGAAGTCATTGTTTCAATCACCATAATTTTGCAGTTACAGTTCCTCTGGATTGTTAATGAATATATTAGAAGCTAGCCAATCAGATATATATATGTATGAAGAATGTACCCTTTGTTGCAGTTATGCTTTTATTGCTGCAAACATTTTTAGAACTCTTGGAATTTCCCTGAGTGCCTGTGATGATTGTTTTGAGTATTTTCAATTTTGATTCTTCAGGAGTTGGTTTACCAAGTAATGAATTTGGAGTCCAAAATTAAGTGTGCCTGCAAAGTAGTAAAGACGTAAGGATAGGTTTTTTAATTTTAATTTTAACGTATATACATAATTGCAGTGCTGGGGATTAAACCCAGTTCTTTAACTGTGCTAGGCAAGTGATCTACCACTGAACTGCATCCCCAGCTTCTATTCTTATCTTTTTTTTTTTTTTTTTTTTGACAATACTGGGGTTTGAATTTAGGTCCTTTTGCTTGCTTGGTAGGTGCTCTACCACTTGAGCCATACCCCTAGCCCTTTTTTGTTTTACTTTTTAGACATGGTCTTGAGTTTTTACCCAGGGTGGCCTCAGACCTTGCTCCTCCTCCCTATACCACCTCACACAGACAGGATTACAAGTGCACACCACCATGCCTAGCTTATTGCATGAGAAGGAGTCTTGCTAACTTTTAGGGTTTTATTTTGTGGTACTGGGGTTTGAACTCAGGGTCTTGTACTTGCTAGGCAGGCAGTCTACCACTTGAGCCACACCTCCAGCCCAGGTCTCACTAGCTTTTTGCCTAGGCTGGATTAGAACTATGGTCCTCCCAACCTCTGCTACCAAATAGTTGGAATAGCTACAAGCATGGACCACACTGCTCAGCCTTTGTTCATGCTTTTCTCAACACTGTACTAATAAGGACTCGTCCTACTTTTTGATGAGCTCTAAAAGCATATTGTGAAGGATAAGTGCATAGTCTTGACAATTGATTATTTTAAAGGACTAATCTGTATTCATTAATTTTGTTAAAAATATACTCAATGCTTAATTTTTTTCCCTAAATTTTATTGAGACTATACCAATCACTACATTGTTTAGGAATAGATACATATGTGATAAAAGCAAGTAGTAATGTCATGAAATTCAGGCTGTTTGCCTGTGGTTCACACCTGTAATCCTAGCTACTCAGAGGTAGACAATCAGGAGGATCACAGTTCGAAGCCAGCCCTGGCAAATACTTTCTAAATCACCCTATATTGAAAATATCCAACACAAAAAGAGGACTGGTGGAGTGGTCCTTGTTTTTCTTTTTTTTTTAGTATGGATTGTATTTACTTATTTATTTTTCTTTTATTTTGTCATTTTTACATTTACTTACATGTGTATACATTGTTTGGGTCACCTCCTACCCTCCCCCCCCTTTAAAAATTTTTTTATTATAGTCGTTGTACTGGGTGTACGTTGTGACATTCACAAAAGTTCTTATAATATATCATAGTTAAGCTCATCCCCTCCATCATTTTATCTCTCCTACCCCTATTCCTGGAATGTTCCAACAAGTCTCATTTTCCATTTTCATACATAAGTATATATTATTTCCACCATATTGACCCTCATACACCCTTTCCTTAGAATCTTCCCAGCTCCCACTGTTACCACCCCAATACAGGACCTGTTTTACCTTCCCTTTCTCCATTTTTTTGTTTATTCATTTATTTGGAGGGACTGGAGCTGTTATCCATTTCTGAAAAAAAATTTGTTGTTTAATACAACTATACAGGGATTTTCACTGTGACATTTCAGTGTACATATGTATTATAATCTGAATTGGTTTATCCCTTCCATTTTTCTCTTTTCTACCTTAGTCCCCTTCTTATGGAGATTTCAATAGGTTTAAAAATTCTATATGCAGTCTTTATTTTTTAGCATTTACTTAATCTGTATTCATTCTTGTATATAAAGTATATCAACCATATTCAACTTCTTAATTTCCTTCTTTGAAACCCTCCTTCTCCCATTACTGACCTCCTTTTAGAGTGACTTGTTTTTCATGATTTTGCTAGTGTTTGTATTGGTCCTATATTCTACACATGAGAAAAAGCATGTGGCCTTTGGCTTTCTGAACCTGGCTAACTTCACTTAAGATGATGTTCTCCAGTTCCATTTCCCGCAAACAATGAAATTTCATTCTTCTTTTGGTTGAATAAAATTCCACTGAAAGTACTTGTTTTTCTTATTTACAGATATAAAGAAAGTTCTACAGAGACACAGATTATCAGGAAATTGCCACATGATTACATTTCAACTTGAATTTCAGATTCTGGAAATTCAGGTAAATTAAGGAGCATGTTGAGATAATGGAGATCTTTCTTCTATGAGAGAAACAATCGGCACACCCCAGCTTCTTGCAATGACTGAGCTGAGGAGGAGTTCATGAGACAGATCTCCCTTAGCACATTTGTATCATTTAAGATTTTTGAAGTATCAACACCACATCAGATGCACGTGGTAGGGCTGTTGCTGAGCCATGGATGTTTTATTGCAGGGCAGGTATCAAGATGTTCCTGGGTTCCTGGTGCAAGCCCCTGAGGTTGTGGAGCAGTCCTGGATTCCACCAGTAGTTAGCAGATGGGCCTGTCATCTATTATCTATTAGTTACCTATAGCTGTATAAGAGATTTCTCCAACATGTAGCATAGTAAAATACTCATCTTCTGTGGGTCAGGAATTTGGGAGCAGCCCATTCGGGTGTCCTTGCTCAGGGCTTCTCATGAGCTTGTAGTCATCTAGAAACATAGCCATCTGAAGGCTGCTTTAGGCTGGATGACTCTGCAAGTCATACTGGAGTGCTGAGACACAGCACAGGGAGGGAGACACCTTTGGTTAAGATTTTAATACAAGATAATGAGGCAGACAGAATGATAACACATAGCTTTACTGACCAGGGATGGGCAGTGCAGGCTGAAGCATCTTCAAAGGCTGCCTTCAAGAAGGGCAGGATTCAGGCATAATTTTGAGAACTGACAATGCTGGGCATATGGTTTGATGGCAGAAAACAGTTTCAGCCAGTAGGTTTTACCACTTGGACTTTTAAGGAATGTGGACAAAGAAGAGGAATAAAACAAAGAAGTTCAGGAAAGCTGTCTTGGCCTCAGTTCATCAGATGAATGAAGGTGCAGAGCAGTTGTTAGTAAAGCCGTATAGGCAGTCTGCCTTTTTGCACTCAAGGAGCCAGAATTACTCATCCTTGTTGTCAGTGTCCTCAGCCACCAAAAGATCCCCAAGCTATCCCAGGTTGTATGGGACAGTAGTTGGAGTCAGGATCTTGTGTCTCTAGGTGTCAGGTAGCCACCCCATCAAGAAATCTAAGGGCGAGGCCCAGGTACCTGGGCTTGGATGTTTTACTTCTCTTTGCCTTGGAAGTATCCAGTTGTATCACTGCCCTGGGTAGGCTGAGGATGAGCTAAGATGCCTGCCCCTCATCTGATGACAGAGCTCCAACTTGCACTCAACTCAGTATTACCCTTCAACACTGCCAGGGTGACCAAGAAAATGCAGTGTGGACTTCCAAAGACCTATTGAGCAGTATACAACACATAGTTCAGCATTTCCTGTGTCAAGGGCATGGATAGTGAGTGGCCTTACAAGAGTTATACTGTTTCTAGGTGGGCACCAGACCTTAGGGCTCTTCAGGATCACCAAGGTGATATTACTGCTCTGCATGACCATGATGATCATCTGTTGGAGGTTTGAAATAGAGTATGAACCCAAATGGACTGGTATCATTTTAAGTGGTCAAGCTGTACCATGACCCCAGTCTTTCTTTGAGTGGCCCACGGACTTCTATTTTTTTCCCATTATAGATGGTTTTATAGGTGACCAAGTGTGTTTTCTTTGTGGCTGATATGATCCTGACCTCAGGGTGGTGTACACCAGTTGTTGTCCTGCATACTGGCATCCATTAATGAGTTATCCCTGTAACCCAGGGCAGATTAAAGTCATAAGTCTGGGGTCTAGTTCCTTTGCTGAGAACTTCTGTACTCTACTATCTACATTGTCCAGAAAGCCACTCAGAGGCATCCTAGCTGTTTTCAGGGTCTTGCAGGTCTTTTCTGCTATACGTGTTTATCCTTTTTCACAGTTGCTTCATGAATTATCTGGAGAGAAGTAAGACTGGGAAAATTACTCTGAGCCTTGGGAAGCTTGTCATTGAATCCAGCTGAAAAGAGAAACTATCCTCAGATTGAGTTGGACAAGCTGCTCAGTGTAGTTACATTTCCCAGCGTAAGTTGTGCCCAAAGATTGGTTGCTATGCTTGTTAGTGGGACCATGGCCTAAAAGGTGACATGGACTGCAATATTTTAACTTCAGTCTGTTTGTGTTGCATGCTTCTGTCACCTTAAGCCTGTGAAAAGTTGGGGTAAGAAAAAGAATAAGTTTTGGGGACAACTCGTAGTTTCTGTCCAAAATGCTTTAGGGGATACAGGGGGGAAAAATCTGAGAACTGTTGATACTCTTTGAAAGATAGGGTACTGTAATTGCTGAATCTCTAAGAGACTTGAGTTGCCATTGTTCCCATTATTCCCCCTCCACACACACCCGGAACTGGGGTTTGAAGTCAGGACTTTGAGCTTGCTAGGCAGGAGCTCTACCACTTGAGCACATACCCCCAGTTCCATTTTCACCTTTAAAAGTTTGTAGGTGTTGTGGGGTTGCTTGGTTCTACTAACACTGGGCTGCGGAAAAAGTATGCTCTCCCTGGCCATGGGAAGAGGCTCATTTTCTCTCTTGCTTTTTTTTACTTGGAATTTTAACATCATAGGTAATGACAGTTTTTTTGAAAAAATTATATTATTTAATGGTAAATCCTTCTGTATTCTATTCATGTAAGTTAGATTTTGTTTTGTTGTGTTGTTGACATAGGGTCTCATTGTGTAGCCCAGGCTGGCCTTGAACTTGTAATCCTCTCGCCTTAGCCTCTGGAGTACTGGGATTACAGGTGTGTAGGTGTGTAGCACTACGTTTAAGAGATCACTAGAAGAATTGCCAAATCAAAGGAAATGTACGTGTAAATTGTGATTAACAGTGCCAACTTATCTTCTAAGATGGTTTTATCATTTTACATATTGAGCACATTTTTACCGCAGGAATTGGAACAAAGGGGAAAAAGGTGAAGACAGCACCCATATGTGTTCTCATTTTCTAAAATTAAACTTTCCACTAGAGGGAGACGTTTAGTTCTCAAAAAGTGAAAAAGTAATAAATAACTTTTCAGAAGATTGTGAACGTTTGTACACAGTACAATATTAATATAATGTTTGAAGCAAAAGTGACCTAAAATAATATTAATAGAATGTTAGAATGCAGGCTGACCCTTATACATCATTTAGGCAACCGTCTTATTTTATAGGGAAATCTATGCAGAGAGTTGGACTGATTACCTGTGCTGGAGTAACTATTGTCACAGGTGTTTGGAGCATAGAACTCATTTCTCACATCTGCTGTTGGGTTATGTTAGTGCTATAATGTTTGTGAGGAGGTACAAGGTCGGCAGAATTGACATGCACAGTATCCACCTTCCATTCAGCGTAAGTGGAACTGGTGTGAGTTTGTAGTAAAACTGGCAGATTGTGTTCACGTAACTTCTCTCTCTCTGAAACTCAGTGAAATGATCAAATGATTTTAAAAAGTTTTTTGTGGTACTTTTTTTTTAAATTACTGTACTGGTGGTACATTGTGACATTTGCAAAAGTGCTTACAATATACTATAGTTAAATTCGCCCCCGCTAGCCTTCTCCTTTACCTCTGCCCCCCATTTCTGGAATAGTTTCAACAGGTCTCATTTTTCCATTTTCACACATGAGTATATAGTATCTCTACCATATTCACTCTCCTACATCCTTCCCTTATATCCTCGCCCCTCCCACTAGTGCCAACCCACCAGACAGGACTTGTTTCACTTTCTGTTCTCCACTTTTTTTTGGGAAAAAAAAAACAAAAAAAACCAAACATTTTTGCTTATTTAAGATATCTATACAGGATGTTTTGTTGGTTTTTTTTTCATATATTTAAGTAGTTTTACATAACTTCCTTTAAAAATAATTTTTTTCTTTTTTTATTAGGATGTATTCATTGAATGGGGTAGGGGTAGGTCTATTATGACAATTCCAAATAGGCTTATATTGTACATTGATTAGATCACCATTGGTTAGATCGCCTCACTACAGGGTGTTTCACTGTGACATTTCCATGTATATATGTAGTATAACCCACACTGGTTCATCCCCTCTGTTTTTCTCCTTTCTACCTTAGTCCCTTTCTTATGGTGATTGAACAGGTTTAAAAATTCTACATTTTGTACAGAAAGTACAATGATCGTATTCACTCCCTTAACTTCCTTCTTTTACCCTCCCTCTCGTTAGTGACCTCCCCTTAGCATGACCTATTTTTCATAATATTGCTTGTATGTATATCATGCCTATAGTCCACGTATGGTAGTCAGGTTTCTGAACCTGACTAACTTCACTTAAGATGACGTCCTCCAGTATGATCCATTTTCCTTCAAACAATAAAATTTCATTCTTCATGGCTGAATAAAATGCCATTGTATATAAATACTACATTTTTTTGATCTATTCATCAGCAGTGGGGCATTTTGACTGTTTCCAAAGCTTAGATTTGTGAATAATGCTGCAATAAACATGGGTGTGCAGATGTCTTTATTGTAACCTGACTTACATTACTTCAGGTGTATCCCTAGGAATGGTATTGCTGTATCATATGGCAATTCTAATTTTAGGTTTTTTTGAGGCGCCTCCATAGTGTTTTCCATAGTGGTTATACTAATTTACATTCCTACTAATGGTGTATGAGGGTTCCTTTTTTCTCCGCATCCTAGCTAACTTTTGTTGTTGTTTGTGTTCTTGTTAGCTATTGTAACAGGAGTGAGGTGGAATCTTAACATTGTTTTGATTTGCATTTCCTTTATGGCCAGGGATGTTGAGCATTTCTTCATGTATTTTTTTTTCTTTTTTTTTTTTTTGGCCATTTTGAAATTCTTTCTTTGAAAAAGCTTTATTCATTTCGTTTGCCCATTTCTTCGTTAGGTCATTGATCTTTTGGAATTTTAGTTTTTTGAGCTCCCTGTATATTCTGGTTATTAATCCCTTGTCAGATGTGTAGCTGGCAAGGTTTTTACCCCATCTGTGGGCTTCCCCTTCAATCTGGTGACATTTCTTTTGTCGCTTAGAAGCATTTTATTTTCATGTACTCCCATTTGTCAATCCTTTCTCTTAGTTGCTGAGCCATTTGAACTCTGTTTAGAAAGCCATTGTCTATGCCTCTGCTCTTTTCTGCATTAGCTTCAAAGTTTTAGTTCTTATATTAAGGTCTTTAATCCACTTTGAGTTGATACTTAGAGTAAAAGACATGGAACTAGTTTTAGTTTTTTGCATGCAGATACCCAGTTTTCCCAGCAACATTTGCTGAAGAGGCTTTTTTCTATTGTATGTTTTAGGTGTTTTTGTCAAAAATCAGGGGTGTAGCCACGTGGATTTGTATTTGGGTCTTCTGTTCCACTAGTCTTCGTGTCTGTTTTTGTGCCACATACTGGGGTTTTGAACTCAGCACTTCGTGCTTGCTAAACAAGCACTTTACCACTAGAGCCAGGCCTCCAGTCCATGTTGCTTTAGTTATTTTTCAGATAGAGTTCTTGTACTTTGCCTGTGCAGACTCTGACCACAGTCCTCCAACCTTGACTCTTGCATAGTGCGATTACAGGTGTTGACTATCACACCCAAATTGTTCTTTGAGATAAGGTCTTCCTAACTTTTTGCCCAGGCTGGCCTAAAACTGTGATTTTCCTATCTCTACCTCTCAAGTAGCTGTGATTATAGGCTTGAGCCACTGTGCCTGGCCCCAAAATAGGACCTTTTTTTAAGAAAGAGAGTAAAATCTAATTATCACAGGCTGCAAAGATAATCTTCTTGTTATGAAATTTGAATCAAAACACTGAAATTCCAATTCAGGGTGCTTCATGAAAACTATATAAATTTTTCCAAGGCAATAGGACTCTCTTTCTTAAAGATATTTATCCTCAATTCTTAAGTTGTGGAGAAGAATAACTTTAGGCTTAAATTAAGTGGACTGTGATAGAAAAGGAGGAGCTGAGACTTATGCAGGAACTCTGAGGTCAGGGTGCTATAAGGGGAGTAGTGACTTCTTAGTACCACAGGCTGGAAAGAGTTGGAGAAGCAGTATTTTGAAGTCAGCTTTCCAGGGACTAAACAGAATGCACAACTTACAGTGCAGAGGGGAAGACACCACCCTAAATCCCAGACTTTGAGTTGACAGGGTGAGAAGCCAAGATCTAACATGGGCCCACACACACTCAAACTAGAGATAAGATACACTTCCAGGAATTTGGTCCTCTTTCCTTCCCCTCTCACCCTCCCACTTGGAAACAGTACTGTTGAGATAAATAATCCATTCAAAGTATACAGTTCAGTGGCTTTTAGCCTATTTTAAGAGCTTTGCAGCTGCCACCCACCACAGTAAATTTTAGGACATTCTCCTCAGCTCAAAACTATCACCTGTAGTTCCTCCTCTTTTCACACAGCCTATGCAACCACTAATCTATTTTCTGTTTATTTCATTTTGAACATGTTACGTAAATGGAACAATATCCATTAGTCTCTGTGTCTAACATTTTTCATTTAGCATGTTTTCAGGGTTCATCCATATTGTAGCATGTTTTAGTACCTTTTTTGGGCTGAATTGTATTCCATTGTGTGCATATACCACATTTTTTGTTTTGGTGGGACTGGGGTTTGAACTCAGGGCTCTGTGCTAACAAAAGCAGGTGCTCTACTGCTTGAGCCAAACCTCAGCCCATTTTGCTGTGGTTATTTTGGGGATGGGGTCTTGTGAACTATTTGGACTGTCCTCAAACCTCTTGATTTCAGCTTCCCAAGTAGTTGGACTGCAGGTGTGAGCCACCAGCACCTAGCCATATACCACATTTTGTTTACCCATTCTATTGGTTAATGGAAATGTTTGCTTTCACTTTTGGGCTGTTAGAAATAACATTGCTGTAAACTTTTTTTTTTTTTTTTTGGCAGTATTGGACTTGGTAAGCAAGTCCTCTGCTACTTGAGGCATGTACCCCTCCCCCCAGCCCTTTTTGCTTTTAGTTATTTTTCAGATAGGGTAGGATCTTGTGTTTTTTTGTTTGATTGTCCTTGGATCTTGATCCTCCTACCTATGCCTCCCACATAGCTGGGATTACAGGTGTGAGTCACTGCACTTGGCTCATGTATAAGTTTTAAGCAGATATAGGTTTTTATTTGTCTTGGGTGTAGCTATGAGTGGAATTACTAGAGCTAATGGAATTACTAGATTAGATGATGACTAGTGATGCTGATCATCTTTTCCTGTGCTTATTGGCTATTTGTATATTATCTTTGGAGGAATGTCTGTTCAGATCTTTTCCCTAAGTTTTAATTGTTTTTTTTTTAATTAAATCAGGAATTGTTTTAATTAGCTATGATGATAGATGCCCACAGGCAGCTTACTTAAACTGCAACTAACAATTCCTAGTAGTCCCTCTAGTGGATGAAAAACTAAACAAAGATCATCAATATTCATTTCTCCAACAGCTTAGAATATAAGTAGACATGTCGGCTACTGTCCAGACAAATGGGGAAGAGAGTCAAGAACATCTACTTTATCTAGTCTTAGGAAAGAGATTTTTTAGATTTATTCCTGTTTATAACACATAGGGGCCACAGAGTTCAAACCACAAAGACAATAGAGTTTTTTCATTGTCCTTTTGGGCAAAGTGACCAAAATCCAAAACCGTGGCAAAAATAATACCATGAAAAGAAAGGAAATTAATAAGAAAATTCAGGATGGGCACAGTAGCTAACACCTTAATCCCAGCCACTTGCGAAGCAGAGATGGCAGGGTCATGATCTGAGGCGGCTCTGGGCAAAAATGCAAGACCCTATCTGAAAAATAGCCAAAGCAAAAAGGACTGTAGATATGGTGGCTTATGCTACTCATTTGGGAGGTGGAGATTGGGAAAATCAAGGTTTAAGGGCAGGCAAAAAGTTAGTGAGACCCTCATCTCAACAAATAAACTAGGTGTGGTGTTGCATATCTATAATCCTAGATAACAGAAAGTATAGGTCATAGGATTTCAGTTTGAAGCTGTAGGCAAAAAAACATCAGACCCTATCTGAAAAAGAAAGAGGGCTAGGGGCCTGGCTTAAGTGGTAGAGCACTTGCCTAGCAAGTCCAAAGCCATGAGCTCAATCTTTAGAACTGCCAACTACAAAACAAAGGAAAAGAAAAAGAAAATGCAGATAACTTCACTTGAGATTGTAGATCAGAATAATGTTCCCAGTTATTACTGGCCTTTTGAAATAAGTAGTGCTGTTAGGAATATCTTTATTCATAAGGCTTTGCTTTCATTTCTTATTACTTTAGTATAGATTATTATAAGAATCCAAGTTGCCGAGAAGGAGAAAATGAATATTTTCGATATTCATTATCAAAATGATTTCCAGAAGGGCTATCCCAATTTACACTCCCACTCTGATGGATTTTTTTTTTTTGTGTTACCAGGGCTTGAACTCAGGGCCTACACCTGGAACCACTCCACCAGCCCTTTTTGTATTAGGTACTTCCGAGATAGGGGCTCTTGAATTATTTGCCTGGGCTAGTTTTAAACTATGTTCCTCCTGATCTCTGCTCCTGAATAGCTAGGATTACTTACAGGTGTAAGCCACCAGCGCCCTGGGATTTAGTATATGTTTACCAGCAATAACTTTTTTTTTTTTTTTTTTTAATGATCCTGGGAATTGAACCTAGGGCCTGGCTACACTAGCCAAGCACTCTACTATTGACCTATCTCCCCTGCTATCAACAAGTGACATTTTTCAATCTTTGTTCCTAAGCAAAAACATTGCCTAATTGTTTTAATTTGCATTTGTCTTACTCACAGTTCTCCTGCCTCAGCCTTCCAAGTTCTGGAATTTCAAGTCTGTGTCATGACACCTGGTTTTTCCCTAGGATTTGGTGTGTGGCAATTAAGTTATAGTATATCATCTTAGTAGATTTACGTTTCATTCTCACCCAAAATACTGTAACACATGAATTATAAAGTTCATGCCTATTTATTTTGAGATGTTATAGGACCAAATACGGATTTGGGTTCAATAAGATTTATTGACTGGCTCAGTTAATTACTCATTTGTATTTCTTTTCTGTTTTTTTTTTTAATTGTTGTTGTTGTGCTGAGTGGGGGCATTTACAAAAGTTCTTACAATGTATCAAATATATCACACTGAATTCACCCCCTCCACTGCTCTCTTTCATCACCCCTACCCTAATTCCTGGAACAGTTTTATCAGGTATCATTTTTTAGTGAGAGTTAACATATTTTTTAAATTAGGTAAATCATTTTTACACCTCTGAATTTTTAGTTCAAATCCTTTGCCTTTTTCTTTTCAATTTTATTGTCTCTTTGTCATTTTTTGTGTTAAAGATTTTCCTCGGTTTATTTTTGCTTCTCTGTTATTTAGAATCATTTTTACTTGTTTTGAGTTTTTATGTAATCATGTTTGCTAATTTTTTCCTTTGCTTGCTTAGAAAGTTTTTTTCTGACTCAGTAATCACTTAAGTGTTTCTATTTCTTCCTAGTATTTATGATTTCAGTATTTAAGTAATTCATTTGGAGTTGATTTTAGTATTTAGCATGGAGTAAAGGTCCGATTTCATTCTCCTAACAACCAATACTTTATCAATTCTTGATTACTTTTTCCTATTATTATTTGGTAACATTTCATTTTATATATTTTACTAGAATTTGTGTGTTTTTATTTTATTTTAAAAGTTACTATGCTCTGATACATAATTTTTTATCTTTCTTTTAGACTAAGGAGAATTTATCTTCTGTTATTACTGACCTCAACATAATAATGGAGCCCACAGAACATTCAGAATTAAGTGAATTCGTGTCTAGGTAGGTTATTTTTCAAATTTTTTATTTTAGAAACTATTGAGTCTATAGTTTTAAGTTTACCTCTCCTTTTTCTTAGTGAGTCTTCTCTGAAAGTATAGCACCATTCTTATGGCTTGTATTCATACACGTTTTCTATCTCTATGATGTGCAGTATTACTGATTGCATGTTCACTGTGCTGAGCAAAACCAGATACAATCCTCTATCCTCATGGAATTTACAGTTTAGTGGAGAAGTCAGATACTAACTAACTACAGAAATAAATCTAAAATTATGGCTATGGTCACTGCTATAATGGAGAGCGACATAGTACCATGAAGCATTTACCACGAAATTCACTGTAAGGGAGAACTTGGAACGACTTCCAGAAGCCTAGTTGACATGTGAAAAATGAGTAGGTACGCATTAACAAAGAGACTTTGTCAGAGAGGGGTAGGAAAAAAACCAGGACTGTGTTGTGTCATGCAGGGCTTACATATTCCTTTTGTGCTGACCGCACTTTGGAAGTAACTGCTATTTTGTTTGTTTTGGGTTTTTTTGGAAATACTGGGGGCTTGAACCCAGGGCCTTGTGATTGCTAGGCTGATGCCCTACCACTTGAGCCACACTTTCAGCCCGCGCTTTGGAAATAGCATCTGCTATTTGCAGATTACAAAAGAAAGAATAGGATCTCTGTCCCCTTGTAGTAATGGGCATGTTATAGTTAATTAATAGTTGATCTCAGGCTTTGGGTCAACTAAAGCTGGGTTCTCACTGGTGTAGAGTGATTGGTGTTTTAGAAAGGGTGCTGAACAGAGGTCAGAAGATCGATCTGGCTTTTAGTCTGGAGTCTGTGACCTTGCATAAGTTGCTTCTCCTTTGGAAATTTTTTCTTTATCTCTGTAATTTAAATACTGTATTCCTAGCTGGAATTTCCTTTTACTTTTCTATTATAATCCTGTAGTTTGTCAGACTGGGAATGGATAACTTCAGTTTTTGGAAAATTCTTAATTATTATTTCATTGAGTCTTCTCTCCACCCTGATTATCCTTACCACAATCTGACTTCATATTACATGCAATAACCACAGAGCCAGGTGCGTTGGTACACAACTATAATCTTAGCACTCAGAACCGGAGACAGCAGAATTGCAAGTTCATAGTCAACCAAGCCAGCTTGGGCTACATAGTAAAATGCTGTCTGAAAATAACAGCAGTATGCTTACCATTTTGTGACTAATCTATTAAACCCCCACCCATTGAGCTCTCATCTTCATTGACAGAACTTGTAGAAGTTCTGTGTGTCTTTTTTTCAAATTTTTCTTTTTTTTTAAATACAAAACATTTTAATGGTTTTCTTTTCCAGGTAATTTTCTAGGTGATCTCCTTAGATGGATATACCAGTAAAGGATGACAGTTTCTTTCATTTTTGTCTAATATGCTAATAAATAGGTCACTGAGCTTTCATCTCAATATAATTTCATCTCATAAAATTATAGGTGTGAGCCACCGGTGTAATACTGGGTTTTGAACTCCAGGCCTTGCACTTGGTAGGCAAGCCCTCTATCATTTGAAGTATGCTTCTAGACCTTTTTTGCTTTAGGTTATTTTTCAGATAGCGTTCTCTTACCTCCTACATAGCTAGGATTATAGGCATTTATCACAACACCCAGCTTATTTGTTGAGAGATGGTCTCACTAATTTTTAATCCTCTGAATCACTGTCTGCCAAATAGCTGGAATTACTGCTGTTAGTCACTGCAAACAGCTTATGGGACAGGGTTTCACTCTGCAGCCCAGGCTGATCCTGAACTGTGATCCTTTTCCTTCCGCCTCCCAATTGATGAGAGTATAGGTATGTGCCACCACACTTGACTCTATGTTTAGTGTGTGTGTATCTTAGTATTTCTAGTAGGTGTATAGTACATCTCATTTTCCTCATTGTTAGTCATGTGAGAATCTTTGCATGTGCATAGATTTTGGAAATTTTTATAGTTTTACCTTTTACATTTTGGTCTACACGGGCTGGGGGACTAGCTCAGGGGTGGAGCACTTGTATGACATGCATGCAGCTGTGGATTTTATCGTCAGCATCACAATAAGTAAATAAAGAAATTTATATCTATAATTTGTTTACATTTGGTGTAATTGTTAGTGTGTTTAGATTGGGGTCTACCTTCTCTATTTTCTCGGATTCTTCAGGTTTCCTTTTCTTGCTTTCTTCTGGATTGTATGAATATTTTTAAATATTCTACTTTAACTTGATTTTTTTCTATATCCTTTATATGTTTAAATGTAAATTATATGCATATAAATGTAGAGTACAAATATATATTAAATACATATAAATTATATGCATACAAATGTAGAGACTAAAAATATATTAAGTACATGAATTTAAGTGTGTTTTATATTTATACATTATTATATGTTACATACCTATAAGTATAATTTATGTATAAATATTTCTTTTAGATTTATATGTTAGACTATATATTTGTCATACATATTTATATAGAATATGTTTTTACAGTATGTATATTTACATATATTACTAATTGCTACAGGGATTATAGTCGATTTACAATTAATATTTTTTCCGCTTCAAGTGAAATGCAGATGCCTTATAATAAGTAGACCCCTTTACTTCATGTGTTCACATTGGAGTTTTCATATGTATTACTAATACAAACATCAAACCCATTAGATAATGTTATAAGTTTTGCCTTTTTTTGCCTCTTTACATATTTGGAGGAACTTAAGAGGGGGAGAATCTGTCCTTTTTGTGCAAATTTTCAGCATTTCGGTGGTTATTCTTTTATTCCTGATATTCCAGATTTTCTGTTGTTTTCATCTGAAGAACTTCTGTTAGCACTAATGACAAATGTTTTTGTTTTGTCCATCTGAGAATGTCATTATCACTATTGTATCTTCATTACCAAAGGACATTTGTGGTGGAATATTGAATTATGTTTGACAGTTCCTTTCTTGAGTTAATTTACAAATGTTGTTCCATTTCCTTCTACCCTCCATTGTTTCTGCTGAGAAATCCACTGTCTTTGAATCCTTATTCTTTTATTTGAAATGTGTCTGGTTTTTCTCTAACTAATTTCAGGGTGTTTTTATTTTCTTTAATTTTTGGTAGTTTGATTATGATGTGTGTAGGCATGGATTTCTTCTAGTTTATCTTTTGCTGTTCTGTGAGCTTCTTGAACTGAGTAGTTTGTCTCTCACCAAATATTGGTAAGTTTTCGACCATTTCTTCAAATGTATTTTTTCTCGACACTTTCTTCTGCTGTTCCTGTGTCTCCAGTGACATGAATACGTAAGGCCTTTTATTATTGTCACACGTGTCCCTGAGGCTATGTTGGCTTTTTAAAATCTTTCTCTGTGTTGTTGAAAATTTTCTGTTTGTCTGTCTACAAGTTCATTGACTCTTCCCTTTATTCTATAACTGAACCTATATAGTCAGCACACATTGCAATTTGGTCATTTTTCAGCTCCAAGTTTCTATTTAGTTCTTTTTCATCTTTTTCTTTGAACACACATTCTTTCTTCACATTTATTTCAGAGTGTTTACCCCCATGCTACCCCTTTTTTTTCAGTGGGACTGTGGTTTGAACTCAGGACTTTTCGCTTGCAAAGCAGCCACTCTACTGCTTGAACCACACCTCCAGTCCATTTTGTTGTGGTTATTTTGGAGATGGGGTCTTACTGTTTGCCAGGGTTGGCCTTGAACTGTGATCCTCCCTATCTCAACCTCCCATGTAGGTAATCCTAGATTACAGGCATGAGCCATGGTTGCCTGGCTTACCATTACTTTTTGAAGCCTTGTTTTAATAGTTTTTTACTGTCTGTCTGAAAACTCCAACAACTTTATCATCTCTGGGTTGGTGTCTTACCATTTTTTTCCCTTGCAGGCTGATGTATTCTTGGTTATTCATATGCTCAGTAATTTTGAAGCATGTCTGGGACATGATAAATATTATGTTAGGCGACTGTAGCTTGTTTAGTCTGACATAAAATGTCAACATTTTTATTTTACCAGGCAGCCAACCTGTTTAGTGATGGATTGCAATATCTGGCACATCTTCTGTGTGCTGTGTCTTCAGTTCTAGCTTATGTGTCTGTGCACTTGCAGTGCTGTTTAGATTAGTCCTTTATATGTGCCAGCCAGTAGCCAGTCTGGGACCTGGGTAGTGGTCTGCTGTGTAGCTCCATTCTCAAAGATTGTGGTGTGCTTTTTTTAGGCTGTATACAAGTATGTGCAGCTCAGAGATGAGCCAGAGTTCATATTCACCTTTATGGGATTACTCCCTTCATAACCTTCTCTTTTGCCATCCCACCAACACCTTTTCTTACTTTTCTTATTCCTTATGGCTTTCCTTTTTTAATCCTCCATGCAGTGAGCTTTGGCTTAAGTCTCCCTACTCTGCCAAGCCTTTCTTTGTTAGGGTCCATGTCCAAGGCCGTGCGGTAAGGAGAGAAAGAAAAATAAAGTACATGAGGGATCCATTCCACATTTTTAGGTCCACACATCCTCTGATCAGAGACTTCTCCATCAGAGTTTTAGTTGCCTGTGTAGGTGCCACTGCTGAAGCTGTCGTGGCAACGACACTGCATTGTCTGGTTGGGACAGGTAGGCTGACCTTTGAATTCTACTCTTCTTCCCAACCCACTGCAGAGACCAGTGTTGCATATGTTCTTCTTTTGAGGCTCAGGATTTACTCAGCATTGAGCCTCCTTTCATTAAATAAATTTTGTCTGTCATTTCTTTTCTTCATGGCTCTTTCATTTTAAATACTGAGTAGCTTTTCAGATTATTGTATTTTACATTCTTGGAGTGCTAATCTTCCTATTTTTGTGTTAATTATTTATAAGTTTCTTTATTTCCTTATAACTTTCAAAATTTTTTTGATCATGAGCTTATTTCTCTGGGAAAATTCTGTAAGTCCTGTGTGTTCGAAGCATCCCTCTAGAGTAACTTTGCCCCAGTAGAGTCATTGCTCATGGCCCAGTTTTTGTTTTC